TCTCCTGCCCGGGCTGGCTTTGAACCTCGATCCTCAGATCTCAGCCTCCTGAGTAGCTAGGATTACAGGCGTGAGCCACCAGCGCCCGGCTTTCCATGAGACTCTTATCTCCAATTAGCCACCAGAAAGTAGAAGTGGTGCTATGGCTCAAGTGGTAGAGTGTTCACCTTGAGCTGATAAGAGCTGAGGGACAGCGTTCAAGCCCCAAAACCAACCCCCGCCCCCCAAAAAAAATTAGAAAAATTTTTATCACTGAAGTTTACTAGATCATTGCTACTGTCTGGTGTGATGATTAATCTTGACTGACAACTTGACTGGGTTGAAAAAGGCCCAGGTGAGTAATAAAGCCCTCTTCTGAGTATGTTGATGGAGGCATTTCCAGAAATAACTGGATCACAGGCTGTGACCCAAGGAGTGGATTAATCCCTTGATAAAGATTCATAATATGAAGGTATTACTGGGAGATAGTGAAAAGTAGAGAGAGCCTAGTTGGAGAAAGTGGGTCACTGGTGGGCCATGTCCTTGAGGGCTATATATTCATGTCCAGACTCCTTTCTATATTTTCTTTTTACCTCCTTTTTTTTTTTTCTCCCGGTTTTGGGGCTTGAACTCAGGGCTTGGGCATTGTCCCTGAGCTTCTTTTACTCAAGGCTAATACTCTATCACTTGAGCTACAGTGACATTTCCAGCCTTTTCTGTTTATGTGGTACTGAGGAATGGAACCCAGGACTTCATGCATGCTAGGCAAGCACTCTACCACTAGGCCACATTCCCAGCCCCCTATATTCCCTTTCTTTGTCTGCCAGTAGGTGATCAGCCTTTTCCCTCTTTTGTATGATCTGATAATCATTATGATCTTCCCAAGTACATGGAGCTAAGCAAAGCAAGCTTCTGAAACCATGAGCCCAAATAAAACTTTCCTTAAGTGTTTCTTAAATTATTCATGTATTTGTTACAGCAACAAAAAGTAACAAATACATGTGTTTTCTTAGTTTTCAGGCATTATTTGAAGTTTGAAATGCAGTTTGAACACAAGTCCTGGGTGTGGGCTATCCTACCTTGATAGCTTCAGGGACATCACTAACAGCTCCTGGGTCCAACCGAACAAGACGTGTCACTTCGTTCCCAATGGCTTCTGTGTTCTTGAACCTACAGTGCAGAGGGTGTGAGTAGGTGGCCTCACCAGACAAGTTTCCTCACTACCACAGGAGGGGAGTTAGAGGAAAACACTCAACTGGAGGGTTTTAGACCAATGTAAGTGGTCTCTAAATATTCCAGGCTACTACCAGATTAGTAGGTCTGAACACAAGTGTTTGAAAAATAATAGCATCACTATACTTGGGAGGAGGCAGCTGTACTACTGCAAGTTCGAGGACAGCCTGAGCTATACAGTGAGACTTTGTCTCAAGAAAAAAAGAAAAAGAAAAAATTAGCATTAATAATGGGTTATCTGTGAGGAAATGCCAGAATCTCATAAAGAAATTACCCTATACTCATTGTTTAAAGAACCTCCTTTTTGAGTCCTTGCCTTTAGAAACTCTACTTTTACTTAGGACCACAGTCCCTGGCTCTGCTCTTCTGCAGCAGACTATCTATGGGTTAGTGTCTCAGTCCAATCTCATGTAACGGATATTACCATTACCTAAGTGCTTTGAAGCAATTCAGGAAAATCAGTCTGTGATCTTTCTCCTGAAGATCAGATTAGGATTAGAAAGAGGAAGTAGTCATAAGAGGCAAATTGGGGTTCTGAGTAAAGAAACATCTGCCCTTGGATGGATCCGTAAGAGCTGAGGACTGTCTGATGGGACAACACAAAAAGCCATGGTAATCCTTCTCCACTACCATCAGTTCAATCATTCTGTCCCTGTGCGAGCCTCCATGGGAGAGCTCACAGGACACCTGACAATCAGCTGCAGCACTTGCCTCCTGAGTGGCCTTGCACTGAAAGATGGCATCTGCCTACAAACCCCAACCCTCTCAAGCCTTTCAGTCTTCAGCCTACTTCCCAGGATGTGTGGCTTTCAGTCCTCATACTGTGGCCCTCAATTCACTATGATCATGTCATCTTAGGGTTCAGGGGCTGTGGCACCCCAGACAGGAGTGTGACAAGTATCACAAGGGTCGTCACTTCTTGGGTCAATGTCTTGAGGACTAGTCTGCCTAACGGCTTTCTAAATGTCCTCAGAGGGTCCACATTATGCTTACAACTCAGCTAGAAAGGCCCTGCATTGGACCTCTGGTGAAGTGGGATGACCTATGTGCCTACCTGGATGGTAGCTGCACAGCCAGGTAAGGAGAGATGCTCCAGGCGAGGTTCACATTGTCCTTCCACTGCTTCTCACTCAGGCTGATGTACTTCGACCTCCAATTAGCTACACTGTTCTCTCCTGCCTGGTCCAGCTCCAGCTCTGGGGCTGACAGTGGGTTGTACCAAGTGATGAGACGCTCAATCTCGGTAGCCTGATGAGACCAGACACAAATACTAATGCATCTTCTCCAGATATTCACATGCCACTCCTCCCCTGGGGCACTGTGGTAGGTAGCGGTTGTGGCTGTGGGCCTTACCAACAAGGACAGCAACAGTGTCCTGCGCTTCATGTAGTACTTGTGCAGCTGGGAACCCCTGTTAGTTTTCTTAGACATGCCTAGAGAGGAAAGACAAAGCACAAGTATAGTCCCTGTAGACCAATTAACTGCCCAATGTCTCAGGTTCTAGAAACAGCTGGTTTTTAGTGCTCTCTTCCTCCATCTGTTTGTCAGGTCACCAGGAAAGGGAGTCAGACTTGAATGGTGTAACAGCAAATCTCCACTCACCTGACTTCTTAGAGATGGTTGACATGCCACTGGATAAGGGGTAGGTATTGATCCAGCCTTGCGTGGCCTGTTGCCGAGAGCCCACAGTTATATCCAGATTACTCCGAGTGTCTTGGTTATCTGTGGGCAAACATACCATTCACCCTGGGAATGAGGTAACTGAAGAAAAGGTATCACAGAGAAAACCTGAATTTGCAGATAAGGCAACTGGTAGATAAGGCACACACTGCAACACTGGAATGAATGGAGGCAGACTTGGCAGAATGAACCCTTTCAAACAGTAGGCTTTCCAAATTTTTTATTCTAACCATTATAGATGGAAAGCTTCCTAAAAATGATCATAGTCATCCTAGCTTTTTTCTTTCTTTCTTTCTTTTGTGCTGGTCCTATTCCTTGAACTCTGGGCTTGGGTACTGTCCCTGAGCTTTTTTGGTCAAGGCTAGCATTCTACCACTCAAGCCACAGATCCACTTCTAGCTTATTTTGGTGGTTAATTGGTGATAAGAGTCTCATGGACTTTCCTGCCTAGGCTGGCTCTGAACCGTGATTCTCAGATTTCAGCCTCCTGAGTAGCTGGGATTACAAGTGGGAGCCACAAATGCTTGGATCCCTCCTAACCTTTAAGATCCTAACCTTTAAAAGAGAATAAAACAAATGCCATTTTCTTGCTAAATAATGGTGGTAACTGACCACTGCCACTATGTTGTGTTTGCTGCAGTAGGAATTTGAGGATCTGTGAACACAAATCACATAGGCTTTTTTTTTTGGTCAGGCTTGAACTCTGGGCTTGGGTGCTGTCCCTGTGCTCTTCAGCTCAAGGTGAGCCACAGCGCCACTTCCGATTTTCTGGGGGTTTATTGGAGATGAGTCTCCTGGACTTTCCTGCCAGGGCTGGCTTTGAACTGTGGCCCTCAGATCTCAGCCTCCTGAGTAGCTAGGATTACAGGCGTGAGCCACCAGCGCCCAGTAGGCTGTTTGTCTTGTAAGTGGAGCCAGGAAGGGGTCTTGAAAATCTTTTCAATCACCCTTTCCTTGAAATAGATGGTTTACCTATGGTCTGCTTAGAGACCTTCCTTTCTTCCAACTGTGTAGTTTGTAGTTAGATATGCGCTAGAGGAATAAGGACAAGGACTTCCTCTTGGAGGCTTGCTGCTAGTGAAGACTCCAGTGCTTCTCCTGGAACATCCTGTTTTCTGGCCTTGGAAAGCTCTTTCTTCCTATCTGCCTTGGCTGGCTCCTAATCATTCTTCGACTTGGCTCAGATATCGCTGCTTCCAGAAAATCATTTTGAATTACCCAACAAATGTGGTTGGGCCTAGTGCCAGTTGAGGGGTGCTTCCATGGCCCTTCTATTGAAGATACCTCATTTGTCTGTCTCCTGACAGATGACAGTGGACCACACCCTGTTAACTTAGCCTACTTAATGGGCACCTATGAACTGAGTCAGTATAGAGAGAAGTTCCAGGAGGAGGTGTCAGCTCACAGGCCTCCTGTGTTTGTCATATGCCTCATCTTGGGCTAAGGGAGAAGCCAAGTATGCACATCCAGTGATGTGCATACAGCATGGCCAAGGCCAGGACTCACCCAGGCCCTACCTGCTCTCCTATCTGGCTCCTCTAGTGCTATACACAACGCACTCCCATCCTGTCTGCTCCTTAAGGAGCAGCTGTACTCCCAGAGCAGTGCTTACCTGGGGGAACAAGCTGGCTGGCAGTCAAATACTTCTTATCAGAGAACATGGCAGTCCAAAATTTAATCATTATGCTTATATCTTCACGTAGCCTCTTTTCTCCTTGAGTAGGGAACTTTGGGGGACAACTTCAAACAACCACAAGAAAATGAATGAGTCAAGCATGTTTAGTCACGGACTAGAGACTAGTCATAGAGGCATAAATGAAGAGATTAGTTTCAGGGATGTCACTAACAGCTCCTGGATCCAACCAAACACTGATTCCCATGGGAAGGAGTGGTGATTTTGAGAGCCCTCTCCTACCCACTCCCATTACTACCCTCTATACTGTCTACAGCTTTTGGCTGAGTAGTATGTAATTGAACTATCTAGAAACAACAGCAAAGCCTATACTTACAAAAATTCAGTAGGCAGATACTTATAGTTTTGTGTATACATAATAACTATTTACATTTACAGACTAAGTAAATGGTATTCACTCAATCCCTCTATCTTTTTGTGTCATTACTGGGCTTGAAATCTGGGCCTGGGCACTATCCCTGAGCTTTTCTTGTTCAAGTCTAGTGCTCTAACATTTGAGCCACAGCTCCACTTCTGTTTTGGTAGTTAATTGGAGATAAGAGTCTCATGGACTTTCCTGACCTAGCTGGGTTTGAACCATAGTCTTAAGTCTCCTGAGTAGTTAGGATTACAAGCATGAGCTACCAGTTTCTGTCTAGGCCTTGTACTCTTGCTTGGCTTTTTTCAATGAAGGCTGATATTCTACCACTTGAGCCACATCTCAAACTTTTGGCATTTTACTGGTAATTGGAGATAAATCTCGTGGATTTGTGTGCTCAGGCTTGCTTTGAATCTCAATCTTCAGATCTCAGCCTCCCAAGTAGCTAGCGTTACAGCTGTGAGCCACTGGTGCCCAGCTTCTCTATTTTGAAGTCAAATATGCTGCCCATGTTGGTCTCAAATTCTTGGTTTCGGCTGATCCTCCCACCTTAGCCTCAAAAATAGCTGGGACTACAGGTGAGTGCCATTGTATTTCACTGTACTTTATCTCTTAAACCAACTGCACCTAGGGAAAATGGGCATGTATTTCATTGGGAAGATGACCCTTAGTACACACATGTACACATAATAGACACAAGGCATGGATGGAGGGCATTTAAATCTAATAGTGCCAGAGCTGCTGAACAATGAGGCTGTGAAAATGAACCAAGTGAACCATATTCTTCTGTGAGGTCACTCATAGAAGGTCTGTGAGGGTCTGGGGTGAGGGGGCACTGTGGGGGTGGGGCGGATGCTGGGCAGATAGCACATCACACCAGGGTGAGTGCCAGTGAGTACCTGAAGTAGTCAAAGGCAGTTGAGTAGATCTTCTCACGAAGTACATTGCGGATGGTTGCATTTGGAACCACGTCAGCATGCAAAAGAGACAGTCCAAGGGTCAGAAGTCTGAGAGAGAAACCCAGGGTTGAGTCAGGACTGAGCGAACTCCATAGTCCTGGAGCTCAGGACATGCCTGTGGATGGCAGAGCCTGGACCCAGGCATGAGATAGACTATTACAGGTCATAAGGACTCAGGAATATTGTGTGTGTGTGTGTGTGTGTGTGTGTATAGAGCTGGGGAAGGGTGTCAAATCAAGGGCCTCCTTCATGCTAGGCAAGTATTCTTTGACTAAGTTATATCCAAAGCCCAAGAAAGATTAAAAAAAAACCCTAATCCTTTTGGTAAGACTAGAAATCTTCACAGCAGAAATTCCACAACTCTGTTTGCTACAATGGCTCTCCCAATAGGACACATTGCAGCTACTGAGAGGTTTGGAAGGCTGGCAATGAGATGGGCCTTAAGAAGAAGCAGCTTTGCTTGTGGCAGAGGCAGGGTGGCTAGGGTCCAGGGGAAGTAGCTGTGGGAGCCCAGGCTCAGGATGCTGGGTAATCATGGATAGTCAGGCTGGGCAAAGGCATGGCACAGGAGGGCAGGACACAACAAGGCCACCTACAAAGATAATCTATCTATACCAGCCACAGGTACAGGCACTGCATTCACTCTTAATCTGAGCCCCAGGGTGGGGAGGCCCAGTGAGGCAGAAGAGTGGAGATGGAGACGTGACAGCATTGAAATGAAGAGAAGCCAAACCCATTTCAGGGCAACCAAAAGGGCATCTGCCTACACGGGAGGACAGCAAACTATGGGCAGGCATTTTTTTCTGCATGTAATTTACAATGTACTGACTCTCTAGGTAAGGGCTGTTCACTGAACAGATGGCCAGTGTAGAGCATTTTCTAGTAATTCATCTTGTTTGCATTTTATAAAAGTACAGGTCAATGACAGATGGTGTATTAATATGGAAAGAACCAGCCCTTCCCAGCAGATGGTTTGAGAAACACAGCTCCAGTGGGCAGCCAGTGGGCTAGATAGGGCTTAGGGAAGGGACAGACAGAACACCTGGTAGGAGCCAGGGCTTCCACCTGTGCCTGGGTTGATACAGACACTGGGTGCCAGCCATAGAACCTATCCAGAGGGGCTGGGAAGGTGGCTCAGTGGTAGAGCGCTTGCCTTGCATGCCTGAGGCCCTGGGTTCAATTCCTCAGCACCACATAAGCAAAAAGGAAAAAAAAGCCGGAAGTGGAGCTGTGGCTCAAGTGGTAGAACACTAGCCTTGAGCTGAAGAGCTAAGGGACAGCGCCCAGGCCCAGAGTTCAGGCCCCACAACTGGACCAAAAAAAAAAAAGAACCTGTCCAGAGGGTGGTAAAGATAAGGCTTTAGGGAAAAGGACCAGACTAGAGAAGCTGTATGTTGTGGGGGGCAAGGGGCAGGGTGGAGGGGTGGTATCTTTAATCAGCCAGAAGTTCACTGCCTTAGTGCAGTTAGGAAGGGTATCTCCACAAGCCCTTCCTTTGTTCCACACTGTGTAATATTGCATAAAAGTACTGTGACATATATAAAAGTACCTGACATGACCCATGAGATACACATATACACACACACCCCAAAAAGCAACAAAAGAACTCAGGGTGCCCCTAGAAGAGGAGTCCTCACTTGAAGCGGGGTCCGATGGCTGCCACATGCCGGTTCATGCTCCCCTTGGCTCCTCCAATGTTCAAGGACATGGAGCGCTGCAGCAGACTGGAAAAGATCTCCACCTGGTCAGAGCTGCAATACTTGGCGATCTCAAATCGCTGCACCAGGAACTAGATGAGAAGGAAAACATGCTGTGGTCCTGGGCTGGGGCTCTGCCAGCTTGACCTCAGGGCTGATGTAGTCAGCTGAGGAGAGGCTCTGAGCCAACAGTTTGGTGGGTGGGGCTGGGACAATCACCCCCTTTTTGCAGATCAGGCCCCCAGGGTGGCTGACCACACATCCCAAGTGGAGTCCTGGTCCTGGTCCCCAAGGTTGAGGGGACAGAGCATAGCAGAGCTCAGGGAGCAGAGGGGACAGTACATACATCAATCCAGATGTAGTGAGGAGTCACTTCAGGGGGACAGGGTCTAGGCTGACTTGCTTCTGATGCTGCAAGGGGGTCTGCTTCCTTTGTCTCGGCAGAAAACAGGCCAAACTTCTGTTCCACTGTCATGTGCCAGGCCCCTGCCATTTCCCGCATAAACTGTAAGCAAACAAATGTTAGTTCCTCTAAGGAAGCACAGAGAGAAGTTACTTTTTTTTTTTCCAGTCCTGGGGTTTGAACTCAGGGTCTGCACCTTGTCTCTGAGCTTCTTTTGCTCAAGGCTAGCACTCTACCACTTGAGCCACAGTGCTGCTTCTGGCTTTTTCTGTTATGTGGTACTGAGGAATTGAACTCAGGGCTACATGCATGCTAGGCAAGCACTCTACCACTAACCCACATTCCCAGCCTATTGTTTTGTTTTTAAATTATTGAGTACAACTTAGAAACCAAGGAAAGTATGAAGAAAAACAAAAGTAAAGACTGGCTAGACTCCAGTGATTCACACATATAATCCTAGCTAATCAGGGAGCTAAAACCCTTAGGATTGAAGTTCTAAGCCAGACTAGGCAGAAAAGTCCATGAGACATCTCCAATAAGTCACCAAAAAGCAGAAAGTAGAGCTGTGGCTCAAGTGGTAGAGCACCAGCTTTGAACAAAAAGGCCATGTGAGAGAATAAGGCTCTCAGTTCAGACCTCAGCACTAGTGCACATGCTCGCACACACACATGCACACATGCACGCTCACATGCGCATGCACACACACACATTAAAATAAAAAGAGGTGAAGCTGGGGCTGGGAAGTTGGCTCAGTGGTAGAGCACTTGCCTTGCATGCCTGAGGCCCTGGGTTCGATTCCTCAGCACATAAGCAGAAAAAAAAAGCCGGAAGTGGTGTTGTGGCTCAAGTGGTAGAGCGCTAGCCTTGAGCTGAGGAGCTGAGGGACAGCGCCCAGGCCCAGAGTTCAGGCCCCACGACTGGACCCCCCCAAAAAAAATTAAAAAAGAGGTGAAGCTGACTCAATACATTAAGGAAAAGAGAGTCAAATTTGGCTGTGAAGAATCTGGCTAGAGCTGAGGGAAGTATGACACTGGCATTTACATTGATGGAGGTGAGTGACCAGGTGGGCGGCATCTGGACCTATCAAATTGGAAGTTCTGATTAGCTAACCACATGGAGCTTGGGGGCAGTTGACTAGAAGAATTCACTTAGACTGGGGTGTCAGGATTGGGAATTCACTTAGACTGGGGGTGTCAGGATTGGGAGAGGTAATGGTGAAAGGGCCCTAACAGACAAGAGAAGCCCTGGCTCAGGCCTTGCTGAGATCCCTAGGGAATTCAGGAATGAAAGAGCTATAAACTTTACATGACCTTTTGAAAATACTCCCCTCTAAATTTCATGTTTTTTAAAAATATATTTATTTATTTAGTCGATAGTAAGAACTTGAACTCAGAGCATCCTGTTGCTTGGCTTGTTTGTTTGGTTTAGTGGTCTTCCCTTGAATAATACTTCCAGCCCAGCCTTTCCTGTTTTTTTTTTTGTTTGTTTTTGGACTCTGGGCCTGGGCGCTGTCCCTCAGCTTTTCAGCTCAATGCTAGTGCTTTACCACTTGAGTCACAGCGCCACTTCTGGCTTTTTTTTCCCTGCTTATGTGGTGCTGAGGAATCGAACCCAGGGCCTCAGGCATGCAAGGCAAGCGCTCTACCACTGAGCCACATTCCCAGTCCCTTTTCTGGTTATTTTTGGAGATAGTCTTGTGTACTTTTCTGTACAGGTTGGCTTCGAAAGGTGATCCTCTGGATCTCTGCTGAGAAGCTAGTATTACTGGTAAGATCGGTAATCTGGCAGCATCATTCTTTTTGTTTTAGTCAGTTGTGGGGCTTGAACTCTGGGCCTGGGCATTGTCCCTGAGCTCTTCAGCTCAAGGCGAGCACTCTACCACTAGAGCCATAGTACCACTTCCGGTTTTCTGGTGGTTTATTGGAGAAAAGAGTCTCACAGACTTTCCTGCCCAGGCTTGCTTTGAACCACAATCCTTAGAACTCAGCCTCTAGAATAGCTAGGATTACAGGTATGAGCCACTAGTGCCTGGCAAGCATCATACTTTTTAACATACACTATGTTCTTTCCATGATGGCTGTGTTGTCAGGCACAAATAATACAATATGTAACATACTATATAAAGAACAAAGATTAAGAGAGTGAGGAGCTTGCTTGTGGGTCCATGCTGATCACTGGCAAGCCAGGACAGCCTCTTCTCATCTCTTATCCCACCCATCCTCAGGCTAACCCATGGGCCAGTGTCCTACCGGCACTTCCACCCCATTCTTGCCGGCCAGCAGCCACTCCCAGCAGGCTAGGGCAGTCTCCATGCCGTGCTCATTGAACATCCGAAGGGGACCCCAACACAGATGATGGAGGAGCTGAGGGTCACAATCTAGAACCAAACACATTCTTTAGAGGCCTTTTACCCTGCCTAGATCTGAATATGGCTTCCCTGGGTTGACAAAGGGTCAACCCTGGCTGGGGCCTTTTATTTAACTTTCCACTCATGAAAGGCAATATAACACAAAGGTCTCTACTTGAGGAGCTCCAGTAGCTAGCTAGTTAAGTAGGTCCCTCCCCCTCCCTCCTTCTGTCTCTTGTGTTACTGGTGTTTGACTTGGGGCCTAAGTTTGCTAAGCAGGTACTCTACCACTTGAGCCATGATCTTATATTTTTGACTTTAGTTATTTTTTAGAATAGTTTTTTTTTGTATTTTTGTTGGGGGCCAGCCTCATACTATGTATGATTCAGGCTATTATCTTTCTACCTATAAACTCCTGCATAATTTGGATTACACTCATCCACAGCATGATGTCCAGCTAGAGGTTCACAGAGGTCTTGATAACTTTTTTGCCCAGACTTGCCTTGAATTTAATTTTTCCTAATCTCTGCCTCAGGAGTAGGTAGACATAAGCCACTGTGCCTGGTGCTGGTGCTCTAGCTTTTTTCAGCTTACTAAGGATCATTAAGGCAAATACTTAGAAACAAACCTAGAGTTAATTATATGGAGCTCTTTTTTTTTTGGGTCGGTCATGGGGCTTGAACTCTGAGTTTGGGCACTATCCCTGCGCTCTTCAGCTCAAGGCGAGCACTCTACTGCTTGAGCTTGTTTAATTGGAGATAAGAGTCTCACGGACTTTCCTGCCCGGGCTGGCTTTGAACCATGATCCTCAGATCTCAGCCTCCTTAGTAGCTAGGATTATAGGCATGAGCCGCTGGTGCCTGGCAATATATGGAGCTTTTGTGTAGTACCTTTGCTGCTAATGAGCATTGCGGTCAGCTTAAACATGGCCTGTGTGTAGTGCTGGGGGTTACTGTGGTCTAAAGCTGTAGTCAGATCTTGGACCATCATTTTGTTTAGGTCAGACATCTGGCCCATGGCACCTGAGAACCGAATCATTCCATATACCTGCAAAAAAACCACACGTATTGGTCAGCAGTCTTGCACAGAAGGCAGACACACACTATGGAAGTCCCGGCAACCCCTTCACCACACTCACAAAAGGATGGGTGAGTGCCTCACTGTCCCAATTACAGCTCATTTCAGTAAGGCTACTTGTGCATTTCTAAAAGAACTTTCTGGAAATGCAAGCTGATGTTCCCACCACTAGGTGTTCGCTGAGGACAGAAACCTTGTCTCTCATTCTAAGCCCAGGGTCTGACCCATGGCAGAACTGCATGAAGCTGAACTACAACTCAAACAGGAAAATCAGCTCCACTATTTTAAAAGAATACTTTTTCAGAAAGTGCCCCTTTCTTATTCATATGACTTGAGTGTAAAGGAGAAACAAGTCCTTCCTAAAACTAAATCCATACTCCAGAGACAGACTTCCGACTGCCACCAGAGTATTCAACATGACACACAACAGAACTCTCAGAGCAATTTCCAGCATTTGGTCAATGGCTGCTGAGGCTTGTGGTAGAAGAGAGGAAGTGGTCACTGGGATAAGCAAGTAAATGTTCAGGAGGAGATAATCCTGGGCAGACTAGGCCTGATGAACTTTCAAGAGTTGCCTGGGACATTAGTAATGATGTAGTTTTTTCGAAGAGGAAACTAAGACCAGAGAAATGCATAGTAGTGAAAAGCCTCAATATGGAGTCCTTCATCTCTTTCCCTATGTGATTTTGGGAAGCTACTGAACTCCAGGAGCCTCGTATTCTTCATCTGTAAAACTGGAATCACAGTGCATATATCTCAGCAAATGACCAGGATGTATTTGTGCCTTAGCATATCCTCTTGTGAGGGTAATATGTAATTATCATAAATGCTCCAGAATGCCAGTGAGTGCCAAGGACCCATATCCTTCAGGCTATCCAAAAATGAATAAATTCCACCTTGCTCAGATCCCTCATCCATATTCCGTTAGGAAAAAGCCAACTGGCACATCAAAACAAAATACTCTGCAGGACCTCCCCCAACAAGCACCTCTCCAGCATAGCGGTTACGCAAATTCAAGGATGCCATGAAGTTGGAGTAATCTTTCTTCACACAGGCTGGGCGTTCAGTTAGTTGAGTTGCCTACAGACAAATAACATAATTTTATCAGAATATCATTTTATCCTCTTGTTTACCTTAGCTTAAGCCACAGTGTAATTAATAGGTTCAGATCTAGGAACTATTAAGTCTTCAGTTGCTGGGCACTGGTAGCTCATGTCTGTAATCCTGAGATATGAGGATCTCATTTGAAGCCAGCCTGAGCAGGAAAGTCCGTGAGACTTATCTCCAATTAACTACCAAAAAGCTAGAAGTGGAGCTGTGACTCAAATGGTAGAGTATAAGCCTTGAGTGAGAAAAGCTAAGGGATAGTGCCTTAGTACTGGCACAAATAAAACAACACACAAAAAAGTCTCCACTGAGGCAGGCACCAGTGGCTCACACCTGTAAACCTAGTTACTCAGGAGGCTGAGATATGAGGATCGAGGTTCAAAGCCAGCCTGGGCAGGAAAGGGCAGGAAAGTCCGTGAGATTCTTATATCCAATAAACAACTAGAAAACCGGTAGAGCGCTCACCTTGAGCTGAAGAGTGCAGGGACAGCGCCCAAGCCCAGAGGCAAAAAACAAAACAAAACAAAAAAACAACAACTTTTCACTGTTGACAATTAATGAAAAAATACCCTCTAGAGTCTGATAGATGGGAATCAAGCAATACCCAAGTCCAGAAAGGTGGCCAAACAGGCATTTCCTTATTTTTGTTTGTTTGTCGGTTATGGGGCTTGAACTCTGGGCCTGAGCACTGTCCCTCAGCTGTTCAGCTCAAGGTTAGCACTCTACCACTCTACCATTGGAGCCACACAGCCACTTCCGGTTTTATGGGGGTTTATTAGAGATAAGAGTTTCACGGCCTTTCCTGCCTAGGCTGGCTTTGAACCGTGATCCTCAGATCTCAGCCTCCTGAGAAGCTAGGATTACAGATGTGAGCCACTGGCACCCAGCTCTCTTTATTGTTTTGAATGTATAGACTGATATGTTCAGGACTAAAACAAAATAAGCTTTTATTTATGTATTTATTTATTTGTCGTTGTGGGGCTTGAACCCTGGGCCTGGGTGCTTTCCCTGCCCTCTTCAGCTCAAGGCAAGTGCTCTACCACTTGAGCTACAGCACCACTTCTGGTTTTCTAGTGGTTTATTGGAGATAAGAGTCTCACGGACTTTCCTGCCAGGGCTAGCTTTAAATGGGTATCCTCAGATCTCAGCCTCCTGAGTAGCTAGAATTACAGGTGTGAGCCAGCAGCGCCTGGCGCTTATCTTATTTTTTTTAAAGTCAGATAAGGTATTTTTTTCCAGGAAGTATTACTTTCTTACTCATAAGATCTGACTAAAAAGGAGATATGACTTCTTCCCTGAAAAAGGTTTTGAATATATGGACTGATATGTTTAATGATTTCTGGTTATTCTGAAAGGCAGTTTGCAATACAAGTTTGTAAATGTGACTCAAGGTAGCCAAAGGCAAGGGCAAAAAGTAACAAGGCCTCTAAAATATCCAATAGAATATATACTATATACGCTTTCTGAATGTATAATAGCAGAAGACAGAAAATTTTACCCTGAGAACAAAGGCAACTCACAGAAAGGGAGAACATCTTTCCATCCCAACCCCCTCCAACACACATACACATAGTTTCTGTTTCAAACTCAGTCTCTCCATCCCACCTCCCTTCCTGCCTACAGTATACATTTAAAAGACAGCTTTACTCATTTTCCTATTAGCATCATCTACCAGAAATGCACATAAGCCAGCTACTTTTTTTGTATGTGTGTGGCAATAAGGTTTGAACTCAGGGCTAGGCTTTTGTGTTTGATAGAATAACTTTCTACTTTCTACTTCTTGAGTCACACCTCCAGCCCAGTTTTGCTGGTTGCTTTTTTTTTTTTCTTCTCTCAGTTGTGTGGCTTGAACTCAGGGCCTGGGCTTTTTTGCTCAAGGCTAGCCTTCTACCATTTTGAGCCATAACCCCACTTCTGGTGAAAAGAGTCTCATGGACTTTTCTGCCTTGGTGGGCTTTGAACCATGATCCTCAGATCTCAGCCTCCTGAGTATCTAGGATTATAGGCACGAGCCACCAGCCCTGGCTTGCTGGTTGTTTTTGAGATAGGGTTTTAAACTTTCTGCCTAGGCTAGCCTCAAATTGCAGCTGCTCTTAGTCTCCCTTAGGGATTACATGTATAAGCCAATAGTGCCTGGTTCCCATCTTCTTTAATTTAATTAATTAATTAAATTTTGGGCCAGTTCCAGGGTTGGAATTCACTGTTCCACACTCTTAAGTACTGCATGGTAACTGATTACACCTCTGGAACACCTGCCTCACATTCTTGTCTTGGTTTGTATTCTGCCACTTGAATCATGCCTCCAGCTTTGCTTTCTACTAGTTAACTGGAGATAAGAGTCTCACTGACATTTTCAAACTGTAATCTCTAGATCTTAGTCTCCTCAGTAATTAAGATTACAGGCATGAGTCACCAGTCACTGGTTCACTTAAAACCAAGATTTTTTTTGGTGACTAAACTCAGGGTCCTTGACTCAATAAGCAAGCATGCCATCACTTGGGCCATGCTCCATGCTCCTCATCCACTTTTTGAAATAATAGATACTATTTGGGAAGACAAATCTCTTAACGCTTGGATTTTGGAAGGATTTATTTATTTGTTTACTTTTTGAGCACTGTGGAAAGAGGATTGGTAGAAGAAAATATAACACGGAAAAAACCCAAACACAAGCAACAAAAATGATAATTCTTTATATTATTATTAAACTGGTTTATTTTAGAAAACTATGTAAAACTGCTTTATATTTTTGGAGACAGTGTGGCTTTTGGCATCATTGGCCTGCATGCAACCTAGAGAATTCACTTAATATCTCAAAGTCTCAAAGTGTTCTCGGTGTAGATAATTATGCCCTGCTTGTAAAGCAGCTACAGGGCTTAAATGCATTGTACAGAAAGCCTCTAGAGCAGCAGGTGGCAACCACAGGGCCAAAGCATAGACTACTTCACTCTAAAATTGCTCCTACCCACTCTGCCCATGCCCAGTGTGTCCAGGCAGAGCTGGAAGACATTAGGCTAAGGCGCTGTGAAAGGGCCCTAGCAGGTTTTCTGAGTCCATTTTTTCCTTCAGTCCAGTTGGCCTGAAATACCTATTTCTGAGACTACCTAGAGAGCCCATTTCTCCTCTCCCAGAATCCTGCAATGGGAAGTGTGTGAGTGAGTGTGTGTGTGTGTGTGTGTGTGTGTGTGTATCTGTGTCTCTATGTGTATGTTTGTCTGCATGTGTGTAATGCAATGCATTTCCCCTATAACTTCCCTGGAGGCAAGGGCACTGCACCCAGGATATCAAACACAGCCAACAACCACACAGAACAAAAATTGTCTTTTCCTGTTTAGTAAGACTCTAACTTATACCCTTTTTGGGGGGCGGGGGAGCGGAGATCATGGGGCTTGAACTCAGGGCCTGGGTACTGTCCTGAGCTTTTTTGCTCAAGGGACACTATCACTTTGAGCCATAGTGCTACTTCTGGTTTTCTGGGTTAATTGAACATAAGAGTCTTACAGACTTTCCTGCCAGGGCTGGCTTTGAATTGCAATCCTCAGATCTTAGTCTCCTCAGTAGCTGGGATTACAGGTGTAAGCTACAAGTGCCTGGCTTCCTTCTCTCTCTAAAAATATATTTATATATAAATAAATATAAATATATATATATATATATTTTTTTTTTTTGTCCGTCATGGGGTTTGAACTCTGGGCCTGGATGATGTCCCTCAGCTCTTCAGCTCAAGGCTAGCGGCCTACCACTTGAACCACAGTGCCACTTCGGTTTTCTGGTGGTTTATTGGAGATAAGAGTTTCAAGGACTTTGGGCTGGGAAGATGGCTCAGTGGTAGAGCGCTTGCCTTGCATGCCTGAGGCCCTGGGTTCAATTCCTCAGCACCACATAAGCAGAAAAAAAAGCCGGAAGTGGCGCTGTGGCTCAAGTGGTAGAGCGCCAGCCTTGAGCTGAAGAGCTGAGGGACAGTGCCTAGGCCCAGAGTTCAAGCCCCACAACCGGAACCAAAAAAAAAAAAAAAAAAATTTCAAGGACTTTCCTGCCTGGGCTGGCTTTGAACCGGGATCCTCAGATCTCAGCCTCCTGAGTAGCTAGGATTACAGGCATGAGCCACTGTCGCCTGACTTCAATATTTTTTTTATTGTTATTATAAAGTAACAGATTACTGTTTGATAAATCAGGTAATGATTACCTTCCTTCCTTCCTTCCCTCCCTCCCACCCTTCCTTCTTTCCTTTCTTTTTTTTTTTTTTGGCCAGTCCTAGGCTTGAACTCAGGGCCTGGGCATTATCTCTGAGCTTCTTTTGTTAAAAATGTGGTACTCTACCACTTGAGCCACAACACTATTTCTGGCTTTTGCTATTTATGTGGTACTGAGGAATGGAACCCCGAGCTTCATACATGCTAGGCAGCAAGCACTCTACCACTAAGCCACATTCCCTGCCCCTAAGTACATTCCTTTTTGGATAACGTTACTACTTCCTTGACTCTCTCCCAGTTTTTCCTCTTATCCTCATTTACAAGTAGTATAATTTATTTATTTATTTTTGTGTTGGTGTGGGGCCTGAACTCTGGGCCTGGGTGCTGTCCCTCAGCTCTTCAGCTCAAGGCTACCACTCTACTATTAGAGCCACAGTGCCATTTCCAGTTTTTTCTGCTCATGTGGTACTGAGGAATTGAACCCAGGGCCTCATGCATGCAAGGCAAGAGCTCTACCACTGAGCCACCTTCCCAGCCCCAGTACAATTTATTTTAAACATAGTGTCTATGGAAGTGGTACTGTGGCTCAAGTGGTAGAGTGCTAGCCTTGAGGACAAAAAGGCTCAGGGACAGTGTCAGGCCCTGAGTTCAAGCCCCACAACTGATCCAAAAAAAGAAAAAGGTCTCACAGATTTTGGGCTGGGAAAGTGGCTCAGTGGTGGAGTGCTTGCCTTACATGCATGAGGACCTGGGTTCGATTACTCAGCACCACATAAGCAAAAAAAGCTGGAAGTAGTGCTGTGGCTCAAGAAGTAGAGCACTACTCTTGAGCTGAAGAGCTGAGGGACAGAGCCCAGGCCCAGAGTTCAGGCCCCACACCGATAAAATAAAATAAACACAGTACCACTGCTGCACTTGTTCACCCTTTGTCCCTCCACTTCTGTACTCCCCCTTACTGCTCCAAACACAGATAAATGAACAAACAAGACAAAAAGGAAAGATAAAAAACCTCATTTCCATTTCCTGGAGTTCATTTCAGTATATATTTTATATGATGAGAAGCACAGAGGTATTGCGCCTTTGTGTTCTTCCCCTAAAGAGTATCTTTCTTTGGTTTCTCTGTGTATATCTAACTTTCTGAGGACACGGATTAAAATCTCCTCAGAAAAACCTCTTTTGAGTCGGCTAGAACCTAGAAAAGTGCTGTATTTTGTCAAAAAACTCAGTATGTGAGTTCTTCCTTTGGCTTGTATCCTCCAGATCACGGAGAGGCTCTGGCTAAAGTGCTGACCCCACAGCGACCTGTTAGTTGGCTGTATCCACTCAGGACCTTATGGTGAGGCTCCAGGATGGAACGTATAAAAGCTGTGACACAGGCCTCTTCAGCACTGCCTCTGACCCTGTATAGAGGTTAGTCTCTGCACCTCAATGTATCATCACTCTCCACTTAGGAGCATGCACCGCAGACACAGCTGCTCCCGACTGCCTCCTGGGTGAAGGGACTGGGACGGTGAGATGCTCGCCCACAAAAACAAAACAAAACAACAACAACAACAACAAAAACGCTGCCAGTAAAGTATTATTGGAAAGGTTCAAGTGACTCTATCTCTAAAAAAATAAAAACAGAAAAAAATCTGAGATGGAAGCATGACTCAAATGGTAGAGCACCAGCTGAGCAAGTGTGAGGCTGAGTTCAAATCCTGGTTTGAACTTTCCCTCATCCTCCTCACACACTAAGGAAATGCCCATTTGAATGGCTGCTACTTTGGATCTGGGTATCACCCAACGTCCATCTGCCAACAGACATCACACATAACCTACACATGTGTGGGATATAGCTGTCAAGAAGCCTTTCATGAAAAAACTACACAGAAGCTTGAGTTTTCTTTCCACCACAACGCAATGCTGTTTTACAAGTTAAGGGTTCAATGCTCCCCAAGAAGTTCTCACATACCCCAAGAGTTGTATTTTGCTTGTTGTAGCCAGCGAAGTGAAGAATGCTCTCGGTGGCCATGGCCAGTCCTGTGTGCTGAGACAGTCCTGATACCCAGTTCTGATGTTTGTTCAGATATTCCTGAAATTAGAATTAAATGTTCTACTGTATTTAAAGGAAATCCTATTGTATTATATTTATTCTACTATATTTTAAGGGAGAACTAAAACTTTATAAGTTTGGAGTAACAGAGCAAACACTGGATTTCAGTTCTGGGTTTGCTCCTCACTTGCTAGCTGAGGTGTTTGTCAGCAAGGTCAAGCCTTTCTCTTTCTGGCTACTGTACATTTATAAATGAGGACGAGTCCGGATCCCCAGAGTGGCTGTTATATAATTAATGTGGTGTCACGTGGTCAAGGGGAGAGGACCAGTCCTTGCTGAGCATATGCTACTTGCCAAATATGTGCCAGCCTCAGTCCTGCTACCAACATGCAGGCAGTATGGTGTGGAGTGGTTAATGGCCAGGTGTAAAAAAGAAGTACATGTTAAGTACCAGTGGCTCACACCTGTTATCCTAGCTACTCAGGAGGCTGAGATCTGAGGATCTCAGTTCAAAGCCAGCCAGGGCAGGAAAGTCCATGAGACTTATCTTTATTTAATCACCAAAAGATCAGAAGTGGAGCTGTGTCCCAAGTGGCAGAGTATAAGCCTTCAGCAGAAAAGCTCAGGGACAGTGTTTAAGCCCTAGTTCAAGCCCAAGAAACAAAAACAAAAACAAAAAAAATGAAGTAGACTGGTTGAGTTCAGCTGGAGCTTGGGAGAAGCATTCTTTGAAGCTAGTCCAAGCAATAAACTCAGCAGAATTCATCTTCTTTTAAATACTTTTTTGTTGTTGTTGTTTTTGCCGGTCCTGGGGCTTGGAACTCAGGGCCTGAGCACTTTCCTTGAGCTTCTTTTGCTCAAGGCTGGCACTCTACCACTTAGGCCATAGCACCACTTCTGGCTTTTTCTGTTTATGTGGTACTGAGGAATTGAACCCAAGGCTTTATGCATGCTGGACATGCACTCTACCACTAAGCCACATTCCTAGCCCACCTCATCCATCTTGTAAGAAGCCTGAAGTCCTTCCATAGATATGAATGTCACCTGGTATGAGTGAGTGATCAGCCTGGGCCCAATCCTCTTAACAGCCACTTGTCTTCCTCTTGCCCTGGCCAACTCCCCCCATCCTCGTTTTTAACTGGAACATTCCCTGGCCATCTGTTATTCTCAGCCTTATTCATATGAGTGTTATTTGTATTTTGAGTTCTCTGTGACTACGTAAAAGCTCTTTGGACTGCTAAAAGGAGCTTTTGAAGATCTGGAGAAAGTACCTGTAAGTGGGACTTGGTAACTGTGGGTGCCCACTTCATGGCTTCCTGCAGGATCATCCCACAGCGTGCAGCAAAGTCCTTCACGATGCTCTGGAAGTGGAAGAGACTGGTAATTGACAGCCTGATCAGCCCCTCTTTGTTATGGGCTGAACTATGTCTTCCCCCAAAACCTATGCTGAAGCCCTAACCCTCAGTAGCTCAGAATGGAATTGCATTTGGAGACAAGGGTTTTCAAGAGGTGATTAAAGGCTAACCCAGTCTGGCTGGTATCCTCATGAAAAAAGGAATGTAGACACAAATCTATAGTAGGAATGTGCCCACGGGAAAAGACAACATGAGGACACAGTGAGGGGTGTTTGCATACCAAGGAGAGTGGTCTCAGAGTGGCCGCAAAGAGTGAATTCATTTGAAAAATCACACTTTGCTCAATGTGGATTTGGGGGGCTATAAACTGTCTGGTAGCTGGAAACCTCCTTGGCAGCTAAAGCAGAAATACAGCTGAGAGTCCCGGTGGCTAAGTAGGCCTGGAGAGGATGAGTCACCTATTCATTCAGTAGCAGAATCCCACACTGCTCATGAGGTCAAGCCACTTATACCTCTAACTAATGGGGACCAAGGGACCTAGTGTACTTTGAGCACTCATCTAACATGCTCAGAGAATGAAGAGGCTGGGCAGGATCTACCTCTCGGGCTTCACATGTATCCGGAACCGTGATTCGATAGGGAGCGTCGGGGATGTCATAGTAAGGCTGGTCCTTGTGAATATCCTGCAAGCACAGAGAGTAGTCCTTCTCCCAATCCATCCTCCCGAGGTTGCCACTGCCAAGTTTTTGACAGGCAACACCCCTCTGCCACCCCTTCCCATGTGTGTCATTTATGGGTTTTCAAACTTGCTGCCCCTTTCTGGAGATACCAGGGTGGGATTTGTGTACACACCCCTCCCCAGTTCACCACTTATAGCACAAATTAGGCCTAGGTATATCACTGGAAGAGTATACCACAAAACACAGAGGGGACAGCCGGGATGCTAGCCAGACCTAGGTGACTGGGGCACACTCACAGCACTCAGCGACAGTGACAGGGTCTGCAGGATGTCCAACATGGTCTTCAGCACAGTCCCACTCCAGAGCAAATGAGGAAACCTGCACCAGAAATATACTCTCAGGACCCAGGTGTTGATCCTTGAAGGAATCGGCACTGCCTTGTTAGAGGGGGCCACTTCCGTAACCTCTCTTGCACCAGCAAGAGTACAAAGAGGCAGGGTACTCACCCTCCCTCGGATCTTCAGCAGTGCTCCCAGGCCCAGCCAGTTCCCCATTCCCCATTTCTCAGACATGACTTGAGAAGGCCTGAAGTGGTCTGCTCGACCCTATATTGGGTGGTCTCCCGTAAGCAAGTTTCCTAGTCTTACTATTTGCTGTTAGATGGTAAATGACAGTATCTGAGTTATATATATATATTTTTTTTTTTAGGTCCGGTAGTGGGGCCTGAACTCTGGGCCTGGGCGCTGTCCCTCAGCTCTTCAGCTCAAGGCTAGCGCTCTACCACTGGAGCCACAGCGCCACTTCCGGCGTTTTTCTTTTTGCTTATGTGGTGCTGAGGAATTGAACCTAGGGCCTCAGGCATGCAAGGCAAGCGCTCTACCACTGAGCCACCTTCCCAGCCCCAGTATCTGAATGATATTAACAGAAGCTGCCTGCTTTTGGACCCGCTGCTGGAGAGGCTTGGACCCGATACATGCCACATGTGTGCTACACTTGTTCTTAAGGGCCCTGGCTAGCTGTCAACCCATCCTCAGATTACTCACCTGGTCTGGACCAGGCATGCAGCATTTATAGCAGGCTCATAACCTCCTAGATACTCATGGGGTGATGCAGACTTAGTGTGAGTGCTTGCTATCTTCAGTTTTGACACCTCAGGGAGGCTGGTGCAACCCACCATTTTAGGGTTTTATTAGTAAACTCTCTGTTTTGGCTCCCAGCACAAATAATGGGAAGGGGCCAGTGCTGGCTTTTGTTCCTAAAAACCCAAAGGACGCTGACTTAACTTGGGTACTTCTACCTGGGCACTCAGCTAGGAGACAGCAGCTTGTATCTTGTCAGGATACTGTAAGGAACACCAATAACTCAGAATGAACAGAAGTTCCAGACTAAAACTCAGACTACAGCAAACTCCCTGACATCCTAAACAGTGTTTTCATTCTGTTAGTTGTTTGGACTGCTTATCAGCTTTTCAGCATCCCAAACTGCAAACTTCTACACACATATACACATCAGCAGGAGATGGAACTTACTTATCTACCAGACCAGACAGGTACTTGTCAGCCACTCTCCTTATCCTTTTGTGAATATGGTTGAAATTCACCAGCAGAAACTGGGCATGCCTCTCCAGCTCCTCTTCATTCTCCTTGGTCTTAGCCTAGAGTCACAAGAGAAATACAATGGCGCCCCCGTGTGCCTCTAGCATGCACACGCTCGTGCTTTGACAAGGCTTACTTTATCTGCCATCATGTTCAGGAAAGCATCAAATACTTTGTCAGCAACAGCGATCACACACTGCATCATCCCTGAAACGAGAAAGACATTTCCAAAGATCAGGCTCAGCTACAGAAGGACAGTGATCCTACTGTTTGCAAACTTTTTCTTCTGAAATCATCTGAAAGTTGCCAGAAGAAGGAGAGTTCCCATGCATCCTTAATTGATTTTCTAGGATAGTGAGTTCTGCTATGACCAGATAGAATTGTCAAAACTAATAGAAAGACATTGATACAACACTGTTCCTAAATTTCAGGCTTTATCTGAGTTCCCTTTCTGTTCCAGAATCCAATCCTGGACACCATATGGTATTTGCTCATCATGCCTTGTGGCCTCTTCTAAATCATTGTTGATGTCTCATTCTGTTTTTTTTTTTTTAACTTGATGACCTTGAAACTTTTTATGTCTTTTCTTTTTTGGTACTGAGGATCGAATCCAAGATGTTGCACTTGCTAAGCAAGGCTTTGCCACTGAGCTACATCCCAGCCTGACCTTGAAACTTTTGAAAGAAACAAATATTTTGCAGAAGTTCTCTCAGTTTAGCTGTCTGATGCCATAGAGATATGTTTCTTCTTTTGCATTATACCAAGGATCTATGATATCCTTACTTCTGCCAGTGCTGGGGCTTGAACTCAGGGCCTGGGCTCTGTTCCTTCGGCTGGTGCTCTACCACTTGAGCCACAATTCCATTTCTGGCTTTTTGGCAGTTAACTAGAGATGAGAGTCTCATGGACTTCCCTGACCAAGTTGGCTTTGAACTTGGATCCTCTGATCTTAAGCTCCTCTGTAGCTAGGATTACAGGTATAAGCCATCAGCACCTGGCTGTTTCTCCTACATCATTTTACAATTTATTCAACAATCAGTGTGGACTATTAGGTATTTTATTTACTGGATTATAATCCAATACTACTGTTGTTCTGTAGTTCCAATAGTTCCAGTTATGAACAATTGACATGTTCAGGTTGGCTCTTGTGTCCTTCTGACATGTCCCTCGTGGTTTTTCTTTCTTTTACTTCTTTTGGTACATCTTTACCTACTAGTTAAACCCAAAACACCAAAGGTGGCGCTGTGGCTCAAGTAGTAGTTCTAGCCTGGAATGAAAAAGCTTAGGGACCGTACTCAGGCCCTAAGTTCAAGCCCCAGGACTCCCACAAAAAAATAAAACAAAATTTAAGATGTTTAGATTTTTGGATTAGGTATGTTTAACCTATATAATCTATGCAAATATTTCAAACACCTCTGCCCCAAAGCATTTCAGATAAGAGATTCTATAAAGTACTTCAGGCTCTTTTGTTGTTGTTGGTAGTAGGGCTTGAACTCTGGGCCTGAGCGCTGTCCCTCAGCTCTTCAGCTCAAGGCAAGTGTTCTACCACTTGAGCTACAGCACCACTTCTGGTTTTCTGGTAGTTTATTGGAGATAAAAGTTTCAAGGAAAAAAAAAAGGGCTGGGAAGGTGGCTCAGTGGTAGAGTGCTTGCCTTGCATGCATGAGGTCCTGGGTTCGATTCCTCAGCACCACATATGCAGAAAAAGCTGCAAGTGGCGCTGTGACTCAAGTGGTACAGTGCTAGCCTTGAGCTGAAGAACTGAGGGACAGCGCCCACGCCCAGAGTTCAGGCCCTACAACCGGGGGGGGGGGGGGGAGAAGAGTTTCAAGGACTTTCCTGCCTAGGCTGGCTTTGAACCAGGATCCTCAGATCTCAGCCTCCTGAGTAGCTAGGATTACAGGTGTAAGCCACCGGCACCCAGCTCTTCAGGCTCATTTTGTACTTCCCTTGGCCCAGCCTCCCAAGAATCAACTATTTCTTCATGGAGTCCTGGTTTGATGGCATTTAGAAGACAAGATCTGAGCATGAGATGAATTCACTGTTAGAGTGAGAATCACAGTATGTGTGAAAGAACTGTATGAAAATGCCATTTCCTGCTCTCCAACACTGTTCCTCTATCAGGTTCCTTTAAGATGGCTCAATCAAAGGCAGAGACCTTTTGACACTTTTAGCTTTGTACTTTCTGGCCCAGAATGAAGCCCAAGAAGGAGGCTTTTCATGGTTACTTCTTACAAATATTAGGTTACAAGGACACAGCTCTCAGCAATATAAATAGTGAGTAGTATATGCTAGATAGATACCCCAAAATAGATGGAGACTGCTTTTTTTTTTTCCTTTTTGGTGCCAGTCCTTGAACTCAGGCCTGGGAACTATCCTTGAGATTTTGTGTTCAAGGCTAGTGGCTCTACCACTTTCAGTCACAGAAGATAGTCTCACAGACTTTCCTGCTCAGGCTGGCCTTGAATTGTGATCCTCAGATCTCAACCTCCCAAGTGGCTATGATTATAAGCCTGCCTGCCTGTCTTTCTTTCTTCCGTTCTTTCTTTCTTTCTTCCTTCCTTCCTCACTCTTAGCTAAAGTCACAAACACCTTTAATCTTCACAATGGTAGCCATCATTATCTTAATCTACATTGTTTATGAACTATGATCTTTAAGAGACTGCTTTCTTAAGAGACTGAGTAGATAAAATCTTTTTTTTTTTTGGTAAAGTCTTATTTGGAGGTATGTGTTTAGTATATTTTCCTCACATAAGGCTTTTCATAGATGAGCTAAGTTCCTTATATTGGTTGAATGCCAATCAATATCTTGAGGTAACATCTAAGGTGATGTTTTATTTTTAAAATAAAAGCTGCTGTAGGCAGGGCGCTGGTGGCTCATGCCTGTAATCCTAGCTACTCAGGAGGCTGAGATCTGAGGATCGCGGTTCAAAGCCAGCCCGGGCAGGAGAGACTGTGAGCCTCCTATCTCCAATAAACCACCAGAAAACTGGAAGTGGTGCTGTAGCTCAAGCGGTAGAGCGCTCGCCTTGAGCTGAAGAGCTGAGGGACAGCGCCCAGGCCCAGAGTTCAAGCCCCACGGCTGACAAAAAAAAAAAAAAAAGCTGCCAACGATAACACAGTAAGGCTCAGAGAATACCAACACATAGGGCTTCTCTGAGGGTTGCTGAGATGTTTCATATACTCTTCCCAATCAGTTTTGAAAATTCATGAATGTCTGTGAAGACACTTCCTTCTTATTCTTTTAAGAGAGAAAAGTAAAAATAGTTGTAACTTTTTGGTTTAACCTAAGTGCATGTTCAGAATAAAAATAATCATGTTCAATGTATGTAGAAGACTGTTTTTTTTTCTGTGAAAATGAAGAGTATCTTTAAAGAGTAAATTGCCAGAAAAACAGCTCTGAGAGAAGGGCAGGTGAGAATCCAGCTTCAGAAAGAATCTAGTTCCAGGGCTGGGAAGATGGCTCAGTGGTAGAGCGCTTGCCTTGCACGCGTGAGGCCCTGGGTTTGATTCCCCAGCACCACATAAACAAAAAGAAAAAAAAAGCCGGAAGTGGGGCTATGGCTCAAGTGGTAGAGCACTAGCCTTGAGCTGAATTGCTGAGGGACAGCGCCCAGGCCCAGAGTTCAGGCCCCATGACAGGACCCCCCCACCCAAAAAAAAAAGAAAGAATCTAGTTCCATTTGGAGATATACTCTAGGAAGGTGGTTTGTAGGTCTCTTAGCTGTTGGTAGTTTTAATTTTGGTGTGTGTGTGTGTGTGTGTTGTTGTTGCTTATTTGCTCTCCTAAAACCAAATAATCTCAGGATGACCTGTTTAGCTCAAACATAAATAAATGCTGTATATTTGTACAAATGATGGGTGGATGGATGAGGTGAGTGAAGTAATGAACAGCTCAGCCCATGGTTGACAAGTTTCTACCCCAAGTCCTGTGGCATATACCTATGACCCTTTGAGCATGCACTTCCTTCTCATGTATCCTACGCCCACTTGGAAGATGCTTCCTTCACAGAAACTGTCTATTTAGACCTTCTACCTGGCCTTGAACAGGATCTTAGGTCACTTTAATCCTCCCCTGAATGCCAGTAAAAGATTGCCATTCCCACTGGCTCCCAGCTGCAAAAACAAATCCATGCATCTGCTTTCTTGATTGCTTTGCAACAGTGGAAATGCTTCTGCAGAGGGCTTACCAGATGTAAAGTCTGACAAAAGCAACATCTGAGAGGCTTTGGGATGACTTTTGAAAATGCCTCATTTCTTCAAGCATATATTATCAACAACAGATAAAAATAATACCAGAACTATATGGAAATGATCTTGCAAGAACTTGATAGGTAGGGGCTGGGAAGGTGGCTCAGTGGTAGAGCGCTTGCCTTGCATGCCTGAGGCCTTGGGTTCGATTCCTCAGCACCACATAAGCAAAAAGAAAAAGCTGGAAGTGGCGCTGTGGCTCACGCGTTTGAGCGCTAGCCTTGAGCTGAAGAGCTGAGGGACAGCGCCCAGGCCCAGAGTTCAGGCCCCACGACCGGACCCCCCCCCCAAAAAAAAAAAAGAACTTGATAGGTTCATCAACATGCCAGTGGCTTCCAGAATAAAAAGGACTGCTCACTACTAGTTATTATTTATTAATACTAAATTTGTTAGTCTTAAAAATTTATCCATCATATTCCTAAAAAACTACCCACACATTAATTAAAATTTGTGGATTTTACCAAATTCCCTTGATTGTTTAAACATGATTATAAATTTAATCACATTACTCTACTTAAAACATAGAGTTGAATTGGGTGATGGTGACTCATGCCTATAATCCGAGCTCCTCAGGAGGCTAAGACTTGAAGATCATGGTTTGAAGCCAGCACAGTCAGGATAGTCTGTGAGACTCTTATTTCCAATTAGCCATCAAAAAGTCTGAAGTAGTGCTGTAGCTGTAGTCCTGTAGAGTACTAGCACTGACAACAAAAAACTCAGGGACAGCACCCAGTCTGATTTCAAGCCCCAGGACCAGCATACACACATATAAAAACAAACAAACAAACAAGTGGGAGCTGGTGGCTATTCAGGTGGTAAAGATCTAAGGATTACAGTTCAAAGCTAGCCTGGGCAGGAAACCACCAACAAACTGAAGTAGAGCTTGGGCTCAGGTGGTAGAGAAGTAGTGTTGAGCAAAAATACTTGGGGACAGTGCCCAGGCCCTGAGTTCAAGGCTCAATATTGGCATAAAAACAAAAAAGCCTATATTGCTAGCTGTTTGGTGGCTTATATTTGTAATCCTAGCCACTTGGGAGGTTGAGAATAGGAAGATTGTAGTTTTAGGGCCAGCCACAGGAAGAAAAGACCATGAGACCCAATCTTAACAGCGGAAGCTGGGCATGTTGGCATGTAACTGTCATCCCAGCTACAATGGGAAGGCCAAAAGAAGTAGATCATGGTCCAGGTGAGCACCTGGGCATAAACAAGACACTAGATAAAAAATAACCAGAGGAAAAGAGGGCTGGGGATGTGGCTAAGCAACAGAATGCCATTCTAACATGCCCAGGCTCTGAGTTCAAACACCAGTAATCCCCCACCAAAAAATAGGCCCAATATTCCAGCATCTCTTAAACATTTTATACATCACTGATTTATTACTGCCCTTATACTAAAACTAGTCAAAAATGCAGTGCATTTAACTTCTTGTCTGTCTTCATTTTAATGTATCAATCTCTTTTTCTTTCTTTTTTTTTTGGGGGGGGGTCCGGTCGTGGGGCCTGAACTCTGGGCTTGGGCGCTGTCCCTCAGCTCTTCAGCTCAAGGCTAGTGCTCTACCATTTGAGCCATAGTGCCACTTCTGGATTTTTTCTTTTTGCTTATGTGGTGATGGGGAATCGAACCCAGGGTCTCAGGCATGCAAGGCAAGCGCTCTACCACTGAGCCACCTTCCCAGCCCCTCAATCTCTTTTTCTTAATTCTAGTCCTTTGTAATTTTTCACATTGTTATTGTTGGCATATGATAAAATCCATGTTTTTTTTGTGTTCAGTTTGACACAATTGTTGCAAACATTACTTAAATAAGATATCCAGAGTTCCTTTACATCTCCTTTCAGTTTTCCATCTCTGTTTTTTTTTCTTTTAGTGCTGATACTGAGGTTTGAACTTGGAAACTTGTGCTTGCTTTATTTATTGGCACAGTTTGCCACTTCTCCATATACCACTCTATCACATCTCCAAACCAGCTTTTTGTTATTTTGGAGATACAATTTCATGGACTTTCTTTTGGCTTCAAAATGTGACTCTGTGGAGCTCAGCCCCCTGAGTAGCTAGGGTTACTGGCATGAGTCACAGATGTCCAGCTGTGACATTTTTATGCTTTTCTAGTTTCTTTTTCCCCCCCCCTCTTTCTAGGAGTTACTTTTGGCTGAGGTCCTTGTACATCTGTACATGTATTCTGTACAGATTTTTGTATTCTGTGGGGTTGGACCCAGCTCACACAGCCTGACCTGACACCTTGACATTCTTGCCTAGCCTGATAGCAGCTCTGAATGGGGTCCTCTTACTAATCAGCTGGACTATCAAAAACAGACCCTCATTGATGACTGCTAAACCTCTCTTAAAACTCAGCTCATGAAGGTGTTTTTTTTTTTTCTCTCATGCTAGGAAAAGAACTCATAGCCTTGAGCATATCAGGCAAGTTCTACTACTGAGCTATATCTTTTTATTTTCAGTTCTTGGTTTCTTTAGATAGGGTCTCAAATTGGCCTCAAATTTGAGATGCCCTTGCCTTTACCTCCTGAGTGCTGTGATTACCACCATGTTTGGTTCTCATGAAAGAGAGGGATTCTCTTTCTGAGGGACTTCTCTATCAACCCATTAGATGCCATGACTATACCAGCACTCTTGCTGAGACTAGGTTTGACTAGTTCTCCTATTGCTGGTGCTGGACCTTTGCCTGGACTATGTGGCTCTTTCCTGGCATTTCCTCTTTCCTGCATTTATAAAAAGAATCATATCCTTTTTTTTTTTTTTTTTTTGGTCATGGGGCTTGAACTCAGGGCTTAGGCGCTATCCCTCAGCTCTTCAGCTCAAGGCAAGTACTCTACTGCTTGAGCCACAGCGCCACTTCCGGTTTTCTAGTGCTTTAACAGAGATAAGAGTCTCATGGACTTTCCTGCCTGGGCTGGCTTTGAACCGTGATCCTCAGATCTCAGCCTCCTGAGTAGGTAGGATTACAGGTGTGAGCCACCGGCGCCCAGCAAGAACCATATCTTTATTTCACAAAAGCTTACTGGGACAGGATATATATTTGTCCTCCATAGAAATATTCTATGGGTTCCACAACTGAGCACCAATCACAGATCAAAAGCAACAGGGAAAACAAGTGTGCATCTGTACCAATCACAGACTTTTTTCTCATTATCATATTCCCTAAATAGTATGGGAATCTTATAACTATTTACATATAATTTACAGTGTCTTAAGGATTATTTATTTTTTTGATACCAGTCATAGAGCTTAAACTCAGGACCTGGATGCTGTCCCTGAGCTTTTTTTGCTAAAGGCTAGTACTCTACAATTTAAGCCACAGCTCCACTTACAGGTTTTTTGAGTGCTTAGTTGGAGATAAGAGTCTCACTGACTTTCCCAGACTTTCCTGACTAGGCTGTCTTTGAACTGCAATGCTCAGATGTCAGCCTCCTGAGTAGCTAGGATTACAGGCATGAGCCACTGGTATCCAGCTTGACTTAGATATTTTAAGTCATCTAGAGGTGACTTAAATCTGAGGATGTACACAGGTTCTATGCAACTACTATCTCATTTTATTTAAGGAACACACACACACAGATAGTGTATTCACCCTTCTCTTGAACTTACAAATATCTTCTACATTTTATATTAAACTTTGCTCTTTTTACACTGTCACTATGAACTCAATGACCATCTAAGAAGCTCTGGTTCCTTTTAGCAGAGAATGTTTGCAAACTGAAATCTGTACACTAGAGCAAACCTAGGCATAGACAGTGGACTCCTTCTATTTTGGGGGGCCCTGCAGCAGTGGCAGAGCTGGAAAAGACTTTTTTTGCTGGTCATGGGGCCTGAACTCTGGGCTAGCACTCTACCACTTGAGCTACAGTGCCACTTCCAGCCTTTTCTGCTTATGTGGTGCTGAGGAATCGAACCCAGGGCCTCATGCATGCAAGGCAAGCACTCTACCACTGAGCCACCTTCCCAGCCCCTAAGGTTATGCATTTTATGCTTATCTTTTCAATGCAGTATTTAAGTTCATAAAATTATTTTCTCCATGTGGACAGAAAAGAGAAAATTGTACTTATTTTTATCCTATTAAAGCTCAATTCATCATGAAGGTGTCATAATAATAAGCTTACCAGATTTGTCTTTCTGAATAGCTTTATCCTCAAAGTAGCAGAACATTACCTGGAAGCGATCAGGATCTGTTGAACGCAGTACCCTAACAAGGAGAACGCTATAAATAAACTTTGAAAAATTCAGGCTCTCCCTACTAGAGATCTGACACTGCTGTGAGTTATGGACCCCCCCTGTTATTCACAGGAGCACACATTGACTTGGACATTGTTAAGGGTAATGTGCACGATCTATCATAACATGCCCATATTCAAACCTGAATTCCCACCACCACCAACCTGTCAGAAGGGTAAATGCCCAAAGATTCTCAACAGTCCTGACTGTCGATCAATAGAAGACTGGTGACATAAACTAAAGCATACCCATTTAATGACACAACGCAGAGGTGCCAAAAGGAGAGGAAAACGTAAGATAAGTACTATTGAGAGGAGCAAGGTACAGGGGAAACAGGCACAGAGTGATCCCCCCACAAGGGGTTTTCTAAAGGCCTGTGTATACATGTATAAAATATATGTTTGCCTGTGCAGAGGAAATTTCTAGGGGGAACACAGTATCTGTGGGTATCTCTGGGGCTTATGGCTGAAGGCTTTAGATGCTAAAGGTGCTAAAGGCTTTAGCATCTTTTGTGTTATTGAAGGATGTTCTTTTGCGTTTTTTTAAAATTCCATGCACTGTATATAATTTTATAGCAAAAAATGAAATCTTTAACCATCCTTTCCCCTATTCCCCTCTTCTTCTCTCTTTGCCTTCCTTCTTTTCTCCCCCAGCTCCTACTGTCTCTTTCTTTATCTGTGAAACTGGAAATTGAACCAGTGCCTTACATATGCTAGGCAGATACTTTACCACTGAGTTATATCCCTAGGCTCTTGGGTTGCTTTTCTTTGAAAAGATATTCTTTGAAAAGAAGACTCAAATGATGAAGATGTCAGTCATTTTCCTCCCCTATTTATTTGGCTGCTGTTTCTTGGCCAGTCCTGGGGTTTGAACTCAGGGTCTGGGCACTGTCTCTGAGCTTCTTTTGCTCAAGGCTAGCACTCTGCCATTTGAGCCACAGTGCCACTTCTGGCTTTTTCTGTTTGTGTGGTACTCTGGAATCGAACTCAGGGCTTCATGCATGCCAGGCAAGTACTCTACCACTCAGCCTAGCCTTAGCATAACACAGTTCTGAAGAGAACATTTTGAGTTTCAATATACATCAGGGATTCCTGTCTTGAGCCACTTACTTAAATTTTCATTGTCTTAGTTTCTTCATCTGTATGAATACCACAACGAATACCACAACAAGGCCAACCTCAGATATTCAAGAGTATGTCACCATATGTCACATTTGGCTCAGCAGAAGCACTCAATCCATACTAACTGGTTTAAGCCACAACTCTACTTCCTGCTTTTTGGTGGTTAACTGATAAGGTAAGAGTCTCATGGACTTTCCTGCCTGGGCTAGCTTCAAACCACAATCCTCAGATCTCAGCTTCCTGAGTAGCTAGGCTTATAGGTATCAGCCACCAGCACCCAGTCACTTCTGGCTTTTTGGTGATTAATTAGAGATAAGAGTCTCATGGACTTTCCAGCCCAGGCTGGCTTTGGATCATGATTGTTAGATCTCAGACTCTTGAGTAGCTAGGATTATAGGTGTAAGCCACTGGTGCCAGGGAGGACACAAAAATTTAAAATTCTGCTCCAATGTGGGGAGGAGGAGGCTTGTGTACCTCATGTACTCCAGCCGGTACACAGACAAGAGATAGGTAGACATGGCGAAGTCTAACTTGTTAATGAGGGCAGACACTTCAGGAGGAGGATCCAGCAGGTTGATGATGGTGCTTCGGAGCTCACTCAGTTCAGCCTGGATTAAAAAAAAAAGAAAAAACAAACAAACAAACCAACAACAACAAAAAACCCACTCATACATCCATGTGGGCACCTCATAAGCCACAGTTGTTAGCACTATGAGCCTATGGACACTGAGAGGATCTGTCCTAATTATGCCAGACTTTAGCAAATAGGTAAGAGTCCTTACAGGGGTGACTGTGTCATTTTTCATGGCTGAGTTGTATTGGAGGACTGATCGCAGTGGCTCTTTGCTGGGAAAGGTGAGCAGTGGTGACTTGGTAGCTATTTCACAGACACCCTCGTACCACTCTTCTGGCCAGAGTCCTGTGAGGGAGAGAATATAAGTGAGACAGGGCTGGGGAGCAATCTATGGAGAGCTGACTAGCCTAGTTGAGTGAAGCCCTGGATTCCATATCCCCAGCATGAGAGAAACAGGTAAGGAGTGAGGATAGAGGAGAGAGAGGAGAGAGAGAGACTTAGGACCAATTGGCAATTTCTAATGTCCAAGGTACTTTTGAGATAATTATCTTCAAAATAGGGCATAGAAGTGGTCTGATACCTAACTTATGCAGCCTTTTTTTTTTCCTCTAAGGAAAGTGGCATTCTCAGTACTCTAAAGTCCATTTGGGCAATGTATTGTTTGTAAATACTTGTGGGAAGAAGCCGCTGCATATGGAACATTCATAACTAGGACAAGTCCCACCTCAGCCTTATGTCCATTCCACACTCTGTCATTCCCAGAAAAGAAATCACTCCCTACCTGAGCCCTCCACAGCAAATCCCATCAGTACCGAGTACAGCCAGAAGTCCCGGAAGAGCTTCTGTAATCGAGGCTTAGCTTCCTTGATGGGTGGCAATCGCCGGGTAAGCTGGTATGAAAAGGAGAAAGGTTATTTGTTCACAAAACCCTAAGTATAAAATCAAGTAGACTCATTCTCCACGAGCATTCTCAAGAGACTCAGCCAGACAACCAAACTAGAAAGAAAGCCGACTAATTGGGAAAAAAATATTTACCAGCAATATATCAGACAAGGGTCTAATATCCATTATATACAGGGAACTCAAGAAACTAACCCCTCATGAAATGGGCAAGGGAGCTAAAGAGAGACTTCTCAGAAGAAGAGATAAAAGGGGCTGGGAAGGTGGCTCAGTGGTAGAGTGCTTGCCTTGCATGCCTGAGGCCCTGGGTTCAATTCCTCAGCACCACATAAGCAAAAAGAAAAAACCCGGAAGTGGCACTGTGGCTCAAGTGGTAGAGCGCTAGCCTTGAGCTGAAGAGCTGAGGGACAGAGCCCAGCCCAGAGTTCAGGCCCCACGACCGGACCCCCCCCCCAAAAAAAAGAAGAAGAGATAAAAATGGCAAAGAAACACATGAGGAAATGTTCATCATCCCTGGCTGTAAAAGAAATGCAAATAAAAACAACACTGAGATACTACCTTACCCCAGGTAGAATGGCTCACATCTTAAATTCAGCCAATGACAAACGCTGGAGGGGATGCGGAGAAAGAGGAACCCTACTGCATTGCTGGTGGGATTGTATACCAATACAACCACTTTGGAAAGCAGTCTGGAGATACCTCAGAAAGCTAAATAAAGACTCCCCTATGACCCAGCCACACCACTACTAGGCATCTACCCTGAGCAACAGGAACCAGTATACAAGGACATATGTACCTCCATATTTATTACAGCACTGTTCACAATAGCCAAGATATGGAAACAACCCAGATGCCCCACTACTGATGAGTGGATCAAAAAATTGCGGTACCTATATATAATGGGATATTACGCAGCCAATAGAAAGGACAAAATAATGGCATTTGCAGGGAAATGGATGAAACTACAGCGAATTATTTTGAATGAGGTAAGCCAAGAACAAAGAGACAAAGAGCATATGGTCTCCCTGATATATGGGTGCTAAAGCCAAAATGCAAGGAGATATGACAAAGTAAACAGTACTAGAGAAACAAAGGAGAGCCACTCATTTTGTCTATCATTGCTAAATGATTCCATATTCTTGAACATAGGTATGGTATACATATATGCACACAATGGAGGGAAGCCAGGAAGAGGACGCAGAATAAGTGGGAAATGGAACAACACACAACAAAGGGGCCCATCAGCTGCACTGGATATAGAAGAAAAAGAACTAAGCAACCCAAAGACAGCGATGGGAAGGGAGGAATGAGCGGGAAAGAGGGAACAGCTTACATTAAGCAAAAGGAAAGAAATGTAAACCTCACCTGATGTGGAAGAAATAATTGTACTGTCAAAGCTCATAGAATTCACAAACTTTATAGACCATGATAATGACAATTTGCCTTGTGAAGGTTAAAATGTGTTTGTGACTATTCCACAAAACTGTGAAATACGTGAAATTTATGTAATCACCTAATCTCAATTAAAACAAAAAAAAAAAGAGCCGGGCACCAGTAGCTCACTCCTGTAATCCTAGCTACTCAGGAGGCTGAGATCTGAGGATCGTGGTTCAAAGCCAGCCCTGGCAGGAAAGTCCAATAAACCACTAGAAAATAGGAAGTGGCACTGTGGCTCAAGTGGTAGAGCACTTGCCTTGAGCTGAAGAGCGCAAGGACAGCACCCAGGCCCAGAGTTCAAGCCCCATGACCAACAGGAAAAAAAAAAAAAGAAAGAAAAGTGAGAGAAGGGATAGGTTAGGAGCGATGTGTGACAATGTTGTCAGACACCTTGTATTCATATACTGTTTTGTAGAATGGGGACTTCTTTGTATAACTACTTAAAGATAACAACAACAATAAAAAATGTTAAAAAAAAAGATTCAGCAAGTCACACTGGCTGACAAAGGCACACTTAGCAGTGGCTGGAGCTTCTCAGTAATTCTACCATTTATCGGTACATTCATTTATTTATTCATGTATAAGTTGAGACAGGTACTGGGCCTGAAGGTAAAAACCTTGGTGGTCTGTACTCAAAGGGCTTTCCGATGAGCTGGGAGATAGGTAGTCAAACAATCACACTGACGTAGTTTTCAGAGATGCTGTTTTGAGAAGCTTAGTTGAGAAGAGAAGGCAGCCTGGGCCGCAATAATGAGTCCAAAGCCAGGGTCCAAAGCCAGGGATGGAAGAAGAGGTGCTGGCACTCAGAAAAAGGGATGCATTTGGAGTGGTGGGGAGATGGTGAAAAATCTTGTGGTGGAATATTTCTCAGCAGCCTGACTTTTTCTTTATTTCTCAGCAGCCTGACTTCTTTATTTCTCTTTCTTCCTCTGTCTACCCTTTCCCCCACCCCCTCCATCCTCTCCTCCTTCTTTTCTCTTTCTCTCTCCCTTCCTCTCCTCTTTTCTTTTACTGGTATTAAGGCTTCAACTTAGGGTTTTGTGCTCTCAGCTTTTTCACTCACAGCTTGGGCTCTCCTATTTGAGCCATGCCTCTTACTTCAAGCTTTTTGATGATTGGTTGGAGTTAAGAGTCTTGCTGGAAGTGGCACTGTGTCTCAAGTGGTAGGGCACTAGCATTGAGCTGAAGAGACGAGGGACAGCACCTGGGCCCAGAGTTCAGCCCCAACAACAACAACAACAACAACGTTTTTTAGATTTATCTTCCTGTGCTGGATCTTAACCTCAACTATCAGATCTCAGCCTCCTGAGTAGCTAGGATTATAGATGCAAACAACTGTTGCCTGGCAGCCTGACTTTTTCAAACAGTAATTTTGACCAGAATCCCAATATGTGAAACAGGTAGAAATGTTGTTGCTTAAGGCACCAAGCAAGAAACTGATTTATCAGTGCTTGAAAAACCATCTGGATTGGGTGTGAGGGACAGAGTGGCTCATCAGTCATGTAAAAATGGTTAAATCTGCACAAAATGGCTAGCTGAACAGATCAGTCCTCACAGAAAAAGCAAGGATGCTGAGCCTCCCGTACAATGGTTATAAAACTCCTGTACACCTGCAGTAAGGGACCCTTTTCTACCCAAACACAAGTGCCAAGTGTGGGCTATGGGCACAGTATGGGGACAGATAGTGACAACCATTGCACAGATACACACACCAATAGCTGGTAGAACTATACCACAACACTTCCTGGAAAGAAATTTGGTAAAATGCATGAAAACTTAAAATATCTTCCAATATACTGCACCCCAAATCCTACCTCTATTGAAAAAATAGTGAAAGCACAAAAGGGCTGGGGGGCATATCTCAAGTGATTATAAAGTACCTGCCCAGCAAGTATTAGTTCAAACCCCAGTACTGCCAAAAAAATTGTATTTTTTATAATCACCTGGTAATGTAGATAGAACTCACAATATGTCAAGTAAAAAAAAAAAGGTAAAACTATAAAAATGTTACAGATTTTTAAATGTAGGGGTAGAACATAGGTCAAGTGGTAGAGTGCTTGTCTAAGCATGCATGAGCTCCTGAGTTCAATATCCAGCAACATTGTAAAAACAAACCAACAAACATGTACACATGAACTCAAGCATGCACACAGAGTACAAAATTAAAGCTATACCAACTTCCTAACCTTTTCTGTGAATACATACACAGCTATCATTATTGAAGGTCTACTATGTGCCTGGAATACTCCAAACTTTCCATGTATACATTAGCTAAATAAATTATCACAACCCTCCTGTGCAGCAGGGATAATTATCATCTTCACTGTAGAGGAGAGAATACTGAGTGTGAGCTTAGGTTGGTGGCCAGGATGATCTGTGTGGCTTCCTGAACAGTGGGAGAGGAGCAGCCACATTGCATTCTGGAGCTGGACTCATCTGTGTGAGAATATGACAGAAAACAGATAGCCAGCCAGGGGCACAGCTTATGATGTCTGGACACAGGGAAGAGCCTCTCTGAGTAGCAGGATGTCACCCACACTGATGGCACGACTGGCAGGACAGAGAAAAGCTCTGAGAAACAAGAAAAAATTCACGAGGCCCCTTCTCAACTACTAGCAGCTGAACACGGGACTGCATGCTTGTCATTCTAGCTTCATGGAAAGTATAAACAGATTGTGGTCCAGGTGCATGCCTGACGAGCAAGTGACTCTATCTCAAAAGTTATCTGTGTAAAGAAAGGCTGGAGATGTGGCTGCTTAGCAAGTCCAAAACCCTGGGGTCAAGCTCTAATACTGTCCCACCCTGCCCCAATTACTCTAGCTCTTAGATTCCTGTGAATGCCTAAGTCGCTTTGGGATTGAAAAGCTCAGCTCAGTAATATTCCTCTATTCCTCTCACTTATGACATACTGGAGAGCTGGACATAGATTCTAGCACAGAACACAGTGACCCTTAACTGAAAAAAGGTATATGCCATAATCTCTTAATTCCATTAACCACAACCTTACTCTGCCCCTTCATATTTTACTAAGGAATGAGATCATGGAAGGATAGGGACATCTGTCTAGCAGCCAAACCAACCATGTCTGCCACAGAGGCTAGTCGGATGTAGTGATCATCCCATAGGAGGAAGACAAGAGAGCACTGTAGCTATTCCCCATGTAACCACCCCCCAGAACTGAGCAGTGCCTCAGTTATGTGCTGGCTTCAGTGAAGGCTTCTGCATGAAGGCTGTTATGTGTTATATGTTGACACAGTGGCAGTCACATCCAAAACCTCAGTGACAGACCAACTGGAGCCTGGGAGCTGCCAGTCACTAAGCAGCGATCAAAGACATAGCTGAGGGGGTTTCTGCTGACCATGCGAGGTGAGTAGTGTTTGAATTGGGACATATTTACTTTGGAAAATACACAGCAACAGCTCGGCACCAAAGTTCACATTGAAACCCTGCTGGCGACTCTGGCTGATCGCATCTCTGTAAAGCTGCTTCTCAGAAGTACAGAGGTAAGTTCCATTCCTATCATTTTCTACTGATAATAAATCTCTACTTTTGGTGCTTAGACATAGGAAACTGGTTCCTTTATCAAAGACAATTCAGAAGCTTTCTACTCTAAGCAGTAGGAAAAATGTGGAGTTTTTTTCCTATTATAAATTCCTACTAGTTATATCACTGAGACAAATTTGGAATAAAAGCTGTGGAAGAGATCAAAGGATTATATTTAAATAACATTATTCAAACTAGAAGCTAAGTGTGGTAGCACACACCTGTAATCCCTGCATTCAGGAACCTGAGGAATGAGGATTTTGAGTTTGAGGCCAATACAGTGAGTTCAAGGCCAGTCCTAGGCTTCATGTTGAGACTATATACCCCACTCCCAAAATTATGCCTTAGACAATTTGTATTATACTAAACAACAAAACAATAGGAAGTCACTCTTTATATCCTCAATTGCTAATCCATAGAAAATACCATGATATTTTCCTTTCTTTGGTAAGGGAATAATAAGTATTCTTGGTTGTTCATAATATAATGTAGGAAAAAACACAGTATAAGTTTCTAGATATGCTCTGTCAATACCAGGATTAGCATATGACTATCTTCACTCCAGCTCCCTATCTGGCCACAGGTTTGTTTTCCTGAACTTAAAAATTCAAGTTAGCTTTTATTTTGTTCTTTAACTCTATTTTCTGAGGACATTTTTAAATGTAGTTGAGCAAGGTGACTTTCACCAAGTTGCTCATTTTCCTCTCTTCTTTTTAAAATGTCTTTCCACTGATACCTATACCTTACTGTATTTGGAAATGGCCCCGTTCTATTTGCGGCCACACATTAGGAACTTTTATTTTCTTTTGTTGGTGGTGGGGCTTGACCTCTGAGCCTGGGCACTGTCCCTGAGCTCTTCAGCTCAAGGCCAGTGCTCTATCACTTGAGCCACAGCACCACTTCTGTTTTTTTGGTGGTTAATTGGAGATAAGAGTCTCACAGACTTTCCTATCCAGGCTGGCTTTGAAGCTCGATCCTTAGATTTCAGCCTCCAAAGTTGCTATGATTACAAACGTAAGCAACCAGCGCCAAGTGAGACTGTTTTTATAAATTGTTCCACAAGTGCATGCTAGTGCTATCTTAGCAAGATGGTTAGAGGGAGGGTTGAAAAAAACAATGGATTCCTTCCTTCCTTCCTTCCTCCTCCCCACCCCTCTCTCTCTCCCTTCCTTCTTTTTTGTCAGTCATGGGGTTTGAGCACAGGAACTTGGTGCTGTCCATGAGCTCTTTTGATTCTATCACTTTGAGCTACAGCGCCACTTCCAGTTTTCTGGTCGTTAACTGGAGATAAAAGTCTCATGGACTTTCCTGCCTGGGCTGGCTTTGAACCATGATCCTCAGATCTCAGCCTTCTGAGTAGCTAGGATTACAGGCATGGGCCACCAGCACCTGGCTAAGGCAATTTTCAAAGTAAGAAATTATGTGACTTTCTCTCTTGGGCTGGGAAGGTGGCTCAGTGGTAGAGCGCTTGCCCTGCATTCATGAGGCCCTGGGTTCAATTCCTTAGCACCACATAAGAAAAAAGAAAAAAGCTGGAAGTGGCGCTGTGGCTCAAGTGGTAGAGCGCTAGCCTTGAGCTGAAGAGCTGAGGGACAGTGCCCAGGCCCAGAGTTCAGGCCCCACGACCGGACCCAAAAAAAAAAACAAAAAAAACAAAAGAAAAGAAATTATGTGACTTTCTCTTTAAAATGTGCAATTCAAAAGTCTCTCAGTTGGAACAAAATAGTGTTGGAGTAGATTGTTTTAATAGAACTAAAGGAGGAAGACTCAGAAACAATGGAAGCAACTATTCCTCAAGTCTGGGAATACTGGGAGAATCCTGCACTCCAGAGTGAACAAGGTAGAGCACTTGACACAGACCATCTAGGGTGAGGGGTGTTCAACCAACTTAGTTCAAGTCTAGACACTGCATTCATTCATCCATCCATCCATTTGTTCATTCACCCACTTATTCACTGTGGCCCTAGGAATGCTAGGCAAACCCTCTAACACTAACCTAACCTCCAACCGAAACCATAGCACTTGTCAGTAACAGCAACAAAAGGCTCAATATCTCCTGATATGTAATGTGGGGAGAGGCGTAAAGTTACAAAAAGTACACTATACAGTGCTTGACATTAACAGAGGCTGTACCAATATACGTTTTCATTATCAGCATTAACAAAGCCAATTAAGTGTAGTATCTGACAGCCTAGAGAGGTAGTGGATATTCTATAGGAAACAGTCATAGGAATATAACAAACAATACAATTCATGTTTCTAAGATGAGCAGAAGTTGCTGACCTGCCTGGGCCAGCATTATAAACATCTACAGGAAGCATCAAACAGCAGATTATCTACCCTATACACAGTTCATGCATGAGAAACATATAGATAGAACAAGACAAAGCCATCTCACAGGCATTATGGACTTGACAAGCCAAGTCAAATCCTCCTTGAACTCAGAGGATGAGTAAATAAAGATAAGCTAACCTGGTTCGAGAAGCTAGCAACTTATCTCATACACATAAACAGAGTGTCTGACAGGCCTTGTCTGCCTGGTGAGATTAGAAGCAATAAAATAGAAAATATTTTGTTTCTCTTGATAGTAAGCAATATAACTAACTTTACTTAAATCTTCTACAGAGTTGTCAGGAGAGACAACCAACCAGTCTCATCTCAATAGGCCACAAGGTAGTCCTGGTATTACAAACCAGTTTCAAATTTTACACAAATAAATATTAAATGACTGCACGGATTTCAAATATCTTTAGATTATCTGTTTTTAAAATCTTAGCCCAGCCAGGTGCTGATGGCTTACTCCTGTAACCCTGGCTACTCAGGAGGCTGAGATCTAAGGATTAAAGTTCATAGCCAGCTCAGGCAGTAAAGTCTGTGAGATGCTTATCTCCAATTAATAGCCAAAAAGTTGGAAGTGAAGCTGTGGCTTAAATGGTAGCGCACTAACCTTAAGGACTGGTCAAGCCCCAATACTAGCCAAACAAATACATAAATAGAAAGCCTGGCTCATGCACTTTTCTTCAATACCTCCTTCCTACAGGTGGGATGGTTTGAATCTTACAGACAAGACCAAGTCCTCCACCAGAAATTTCCCTTCAGCCTTAGGAATTCTACTTCTTAGTGGAGCCTCAACACTCTGGCCACTCCCAACTTATGAGGTAAACCACATCCTCTTTCCCATTTCCACAGTGCTTTCTAAACTCTATTTTTGTTGGTCGTAGGCCTTGAACTCTGGGCCTGGGCGCTGTCCCTCAGCTCTTCAGCTCAAGGCGATCTCACTACCACTTGAGCCACAGCACCACTTCCAGTTTTCTGAGTGGTTTACTGGAGATCCGAGTCTCCTGGAGTTTCCTGCCTGGGCTAGCTTTGAACAGAAATCCTCAGATCTCAGCCTCCAGAGTAACTAGGATTACAGGTGTGAGCCACTTATGCTCGGTTTTCCAAGCTCTATTTTGAGAGTTCGATTTACTGTGCACACACCCCACAAGACTGATGCTTTCATCTGTTAGTGGGGAAGACCTCTGTATCTCTAGAGCCTAGTGAGTGCTTTCTGAAGACAGAAGACAGTGTTTGGTAAATGAATGAAAAAGAAACTTCTCCTAGGAGGCCCAGGAATCTACAAAGTTTTGTAAACCTTTAAAGAAAGGATTTTCCTTTAGAGTCCAAGGATCCGATGGGATCTACCTTTATCAGATTTTCTTCACGTGCAGAACCTAAGCTATTTACAGTCTGAACTCTGCAAGAGGGTGGGTAGGGGACCTGACTAGGTCGCCTCTAACCTTGTCTGCTTTCCCTCCCAGTTCAGCTCTGCCAAAATGAAGTACCCATTCCACCCTCTTCTTGTTTCTCTCATCCTAATGTGTGTATGTGGACGCAGCAAAGGCCTTGCTGATCAGCTAAGTAATAAAAACATGAGTATGCCCCTTTTGCCTGCTGACTTCCACAAAGAAAACACGGTGACCAACGACTGGATTCAGGAGGGGGAGGAAGATGACGACTATCTGGACCTGGAGAAGTTGTTCAGCGAAGATGATGACTATATTTACATCATTGATGCAGTTTCCCCAACAGACTCAGAACTGAGTGCAAGCAACATCCTACAGCTTTTCCAAGGCAAGAGCCGAATTCAGCGTCTTAACATCCTTAATGCGAAATTTGCCTTCAACCTTTACCGAGGACTGAAGGACCAAGTCAACACTTTCGATAACATCTTCATAGCACCTGTTGGCATTTCTACTGCCATGGGGATGATTTCCTTAGGCCTGAGAGGAGACACACATGAACAAGTGCACTCGGTCTTGCATTTTAAAGATTTTGTTAATGCTAGCAGCAAGTATGAGATCACAACTGTTCACAATCTATTCCGCAAGCTAACGCATCGCCTCTTCAGGAGGAACTTTGGATACACACTGAGATCAGTCAATGACCTTTACATCCAGAGGCAGTTTCCCATTCTGGATGACTTCAAAACTAAGGTGAAAGAGTTCTATTTTGCTGAGGCCCAGGCAGCTGACTTCTCAGACCCTGCCTTCATAGCAAAAACAAATCATCATATTCTGAAGCTCACCAAGGGCTTCATCAAAGAAGCTCTGGAGAATATAGACCCCAATACTCAGATGATGATTCTAAACTGCATTTACTTCAAAGGTAAGAAGTAGCTTTATGGGTCTCAAAGCCAATTTACAAGATACTCTTTTTCTTTTGCCAGTCCTAGGCTTTGAACTCAGGGGCCTAAGCGCTGTCCCTGAGCTCTTTTACTCAAGACTAGTGTTTTACCACTTGAGCCACAGTGCCATTTCTGGCTTTTTGGTGGTTAATTGATTATAAGAATCTCATGTACTTCCCTGTCTGGGCTGGCTTGGAACTGTGATCCTTAGATCTCAGCCTTGTGAGTAGCTAGGATTACAGGCATGAGCCACCAACACCCAGCTCAACATGTTCTTTCGGTACATGTATAGACAGAACTATTCAAGCTCTAAGTTATTCAGGAAAACAAGACATTAATTGACACTAGTAGAGGGACAAAATCATGATGAGGTGTCATTACTGAGCCCTAATTATGCTTTATCTGTGCACTAGATCGTACCACATGTGAGACCATTGTGCTTATTTTAGGGTTCCCCCTTTCTTAGCATTTGGCTGCCTGAGTTTGAGTCTCTTCATTTTCTTTCCCAATTACCAGTAAGCAGGAATATGGACAGAACCATGAAGAAATGTATCTGGAATGATTCAGCTGATATCAACACCATAGTTCCTTTTGGGGATACTTTTGTACTAATAAGTGGGGTTTGGTGGTGGGAGGAGTGTTAAAAAAAATAAGCCAGGGGCTGGGAAGGTGCCTTGCATGCCTGAGGCCCTGGGTTTGATTCCTCAGCACCACATAAGCAAAAAGGAAAAAAACGGAAGTGGCGTTGTGGCTCAAGTGGTAGAGCGCTATCCTTGAGCTGAAGAGCTGAGGGATAGCCCAGGCCCAGAGTTCAGGCCCCACGACCGGACCCCCCCCCCCAAAAAAAAAGCCAATAGCAACTGTTCTAGGCCAGGCAAGAAGAGCACTTTTTAAGGAAGTATTGTCTCACTCAATACACAAATATACATACATGTATACACAGGACCCCTGAAATCCTAAGAATAAAGTGGCACAGATTTGAAGAAATCCTGAATTAAGTTTTTCTCTTTGAGGCAAGGATTTGCTATATAGCCAGGTGGGCTTCAAACTTGAGATTTTCCTAAGAATTCCTTTGAGTAAAATTAACACAATATAAAGCATGTAAGATTTAGTAATGACGTTTATTTTAAGCAATAAACCTATGCCTAGCAATAAACAATTCAGTGGAAGACATTTTTGTAGCACTGAAGCCCTAGATTTTTACCCATTTGACAGTTTCAGGTTATCTGATGACTTTTTATTAGCCCTGGCTGGAGTTTCAAAGAGGAAGCCCTTTCTGTTGCCATGGGGGTGGAGAAGTGACTAGGCCTGTTTAGTCTTTCTCTCTCCCTCTCTCTCTCAGTGGTACTGAGATTTGAACCCAGGGCTCACGTAGCAATCTATGTTTGAGCCTAATCTCCAGCCCTTTTGCATTATTTTCTTTTTTACTAGTCTTTTCTCCTTTTTTGGTACTAGAGAGCAAACCCAGGTTGTTGTACTTGCTAGGCAAGTGCTTTGCCACTAAGCTACATCCCAGTCCAAGATAAGGTTTTTGATTGGGACCTTGATCCACTTCTTACTGTACTTGGGAGGACAAATATGTGCCAACATTATGCTTCTTTCATTGAGAATGTCTTCTTAACTTGTTTTTGTTCAGGGATAGCTTGAAACTATAATACTTCTGAACTTGGCCTCCCAAGTAACTAGAATTACAGGCATGAGCCACTCGGTCTAACTCTTAATTTATCTCTGGACAGTTAATTTATTTTACATCAAAGTATAAAAGTGGTAAACATATAAGCTGCCTTTCCCTGTCCCATTAGACCAGTCATGCTGGGTACTGGAAGAGATCACCCAGTCTTTCATGAATGGATCTAGTAGGTGAGGAGATTGTAGAAGTATAATCTTCATTTCTAGCTCTCAAATCTCTGTTACTAATTTAAAGTATTAGAATTACTTGTTAATGCTTCTGATGGGCTTCTTCTTATCAGAGTTAGGAGAGTAGTGATACTCAGTGGGGTCCAGGGCAGGTGTCTGGAGATATTTGTGGCTACTGAAACCTGAGGGAAGCACTAATGGTATCCAAGAGGGGATGCTGTTAAATACCCTACACTGCACAGGACAATGCCCACACCATAGACAGCTACCTAGTCTAATTCTCAACAGTGCTGTGATTGAGAAATCCTTGGTAAGGCTGGCTCAGAGAAGGCAACTGAGCTACAATTAGGCAGACTGGAGCTGTCTGGTACTTAAATCTCCTTCACAGATACCATGTGATTGAGTTTGCAGTATGCAGTGGAAATAACAAAGCCTTTTTCTTTTCTTTTTTTCATTTTGTTGTCAGTTGTCGGGCTTGAACTCTGGGCCTGGGTGTTATCCCTCAGCTCTTCAGCTCAAGGCTTGAGCCACAGTGCCACTTCTGGTTTTCTTATTAGAGATAAGAGTCTCACTGATATTCCTGCCCGGGCTGGCTTTGAACCGTAATCTTCAGATCTCAGCCTCCTAAGTAGCTAGGATTATAGGGGTGAGCCACCGGCACCCGGCTCAAAGCCTTTTTCTTATGGACTAAAGTTTTATTTTATTATGTATCTCTTTGTTAAGGATCAGATAGATATCTACTATTTATATCAGCTGGCTGCTCAACTTACCAGCTCAAAACTTTTAAATATATTACTTCATTGTGTCAGTTATCTCATCTGTAAAATGGAGTAAATGCAAGGTGCAGTGGCCCACACCTGTAATACTAGCTACCAGATGGCTAAGACTGGGGATTGCAGTTCAAAGCCAGTCTAGGCAGGAAAGTCTATGAGACTCTTATCTCTAATTAACAAGCAAAAAGCTAGAAGTAGAACTGTGACTCAAGTGGGTTAGTGCTCAGGCTCTTGCACTGAAGCCCCAGTAACACGTGTGCACGCGTGCGTGCTCACACACGCGTACGTACACACACACACACACACACACACAGAGGCAGGTACCTTTTTCACCCTTCCCCCACCCCAAAAGAGAAAGGGATAAAAATAGCTGCTGGAAGCACAAAGTGAGGTAATACAGGGAAAATGACCAGATAAATGGCTGGCACATCACCAGTTGTCACCTAGTCACTAATCATTATTAGTTAGAGCTAAAACGGACATGGATTTATTCCTTGATGCACAGCTCTGAACCCAAATTTACAGAGAGAATATTGAAGCAGCACTACATAACTTGCATATCCTAATAACACAGGGCAGAAAGAAACTCTAAGCTACCAACTTTACAGAGAAGAGGCCCTGGAAACTAACCCAGAAGTCATTCTAGTCTACTTAATCCCTGTTGTTAACTTTGTTAGAAATGAAATTTCTCAGTCCAACCCATTCTAGAAATCAAAGATGGGCCCTACAGACCCCCTAAGGAATTGAGATACAAGCACAGGGGTAAAATGAAGTTCTTTTTGAGGTTCTTTTTTTTTTTTTGGTCGGATATGAGGCTTGAACTCAGGGCCTGGATGCAGTCCCTGAGCTTTTCTGCTCAAGGCTAGCACCTAACTACTTTCAGTCATAGCCCCACTTCCAGGCCCAAATGAAATTGTAGTAGCTGCCCTGCTCCTTTTGAGTTTACAGGAACCTGGGTGAATAAATTCCCAGTGGAAATGACACATAATCACAACTTCCGTCTGAATGAGAGAGAGGTGGTCAAAGTCTCCATGATGCAGACCAAGGGAAACTTCCTTGCGGCAAATGACCAGGAGCTTGACTGTGATGTTCTCCAGCTGGAATATGTGGGGGGCATCAGCATGCTAATCGTGGTCCCACACAAGCTGTCAGGGATGAAGACTCTTGAAGCCCAGCTGACACCACAGGTGGTGGAAAGATGGCAGAAAAGCATGACAAACAGGTACTTTAAGGGTGTTTATTCTTTTGAGCTCCTAAGAGCACTAAAATGATAGTCTTTTTCTTTTCCTTCCTTCCTTCCTTTCTCTTTTTTCTTTCTTTCTTGTCTTTCTTTCATTTTTTTTCCATGCTGGTCCTGTGGCTTGAATTCAAGGCCTGGGCACTGTTCCAGAGCTTTTTTTGTTCAAAGCTAGCATTTTACACTTGAACCATACCTCCATTTCCAGAATTTCTGGTACTTAATTGGAGATAAGAGTCTCATAGATTTTCCTGCCCCAGCTGTCTCTGAACTACAATCCTCGGATCTCAGCCTCCTGAGTAGTTCAGATTACAGGTGTGAGCCACTAGTGCTTGGCATCAGTATTCTTTAAAAACAAAACAAAATAGAGAAAGAGGTGTGCAAAACTACTCACCCAGCTCTATCAAGCCTAAAGTGGAGTTCATACCATTATTTACCATGATCAAGGTAAATGTCTGGAATGTAAGAGGCATCCAACAAAGATTAGCAGTCTCCTTCGGCACCTAGAAAATTGTGAGGCTTTCTTAACTCTCTGAGGACTTGTTATTTATACTTTTTGTCTAGTCTGAGTATTGAGTATTCTCTAGAGCTGAACCTGTTGATTTTAAATATTTTCTGAGGTTATTATCGGATCATAGCAGAAAGAATGGAGAGCTTGGTCACATGTCTGTTTCACTGGAAACTGTTTATGGTCATAATGAGAAAATGAACCTAGTTTGGGCTGTTATAGGACAAGAATAAAAACAAATGCACAAAACTCAAGAAGCAGTGTGGGCATGGTTGCACACATGTGCAATCCCAGTGCTTGGGAGGTAAAAGCATGAATTCAAGGCCAATCTGGGCTATTATTTATACTGTTTTTACCACCCCTAACCCCATTACAAAAAAAACCTTCCCAAAACAACAACAAAAGTAAAGTAAAACAGAACCACAACAATTTTTTTTCTTTTGGGTCCGGTCGTGAGACTGAACTCTGGGCCTGGGCGCTGTCCCTCAGCTCTTCAGCTCAAGGCTAGAGCTCTACCACTTAAGCCACAGTGCCACTTCCGGCTTTTTTTCTTTTTGCTTATGTGATGCTGAGGAATTGAATCCAGGGCCTCACGCATGCAAGGCAAGCGCTCTACCACTGAGCCACCTTCCCAGCCCCAAAACAATTCTTTTACAGGAATGTAATTTCCCCAAATATCCCACTAGTTATAAAGCCTATTTTTTTTTTTTAAAGATCCCTCTGTGTACTCACTTCTTTCCTAACATCCTTGGCCTGTGACCTCCATCCTGACCCCAGCAAGGCCAAATCAGCCTGCTGGTTCCATTCCTTGTCCACTGGTGCACTGACCATCAGACCAGCATTCCCTTTATCATTTCCATTCCCCTCTTCTCAGAGCCAGCCCAGTTTCTCAGCCCAGTCCACAGATTCCCTGCTTCCTAGTCTGGTCTGTTTAGCACCTTCTCTCTTTCCTACCCAGCCTCTTCCCCACACTCTAACCAGACCCAAGGCCTCATGTTCCCAAGGCCTCATCTTCCCTCCACAAAAGAGAGTGCTGAATAATATCAAAGTATTACCTCTATGTACAAAAAAAATTATCTCCAAACTTCTGCTTACACATCGATCCCCTCCATCTCTCAACATGCCCCTTTCTAGTAATTCAGATATTAATGTGCCTTTTTTGGGGGGTGGGGAGAGTGGTGGTGATGGAAATGGAATCCAAAACCTTGTGCATGCTAGGCAAGTGCTCTACCACTGAGCTACAGCAGCTCCTTGTATCATCTTTGCATTTATTTATTTATTGTCAGTTGAGGGGCTTGAACGCTGGGCCTGGGTGCTGTCCCTGAGCTCTTCAGTTCAAGGCTTGCTCTACCACTTGAGCCATAGTGCCACTTCCGGCCTTTTCTGTTTATGTGGTGTTGAGGAATCGAACCCAGGACTTCATGCATGTGAGGCAAGCACTCTACCGCTGAGTCACCTTCCCAGCCCCATCATCTTTACTCTTATTTATTTTTTTTAATTTTTTTTTTTTTGTCTGTCATGGGACTTGGTCTGGGCACTGTCCCTGAGCTCTTCAGTTCAAGACAAGTGCTCTACTGCTTGAGCCACTGAGCCATGGCACCACTTCTATTTGTTTGTTTTTTTATTCCCATTAACTGGAGATAAGAATCTTACAGACTTTCCTGTCCTGCTGGCTTCAAACCACAATCCTCAGATCTAAGCCTCCTATGTAGCTACAATGACAGGCCTGAGCCACACGCACGGGGCTTACTTTTATTTTTTTTACAACTTCACTTTTTTTTTTGTAATTTTTTTTTTGGGGGGGGGTCCGGTTATGGAACCTGAACTCTGGGCCTGGGCGCTGTCCCTCAGCTCTTCAGCTCAAGGCTAGCCCTCTACCACTTGAGCCACAGCACCACTTCTGGCTTTTTTCTCTTTGCTTATGTGGTGCTGAGGAATTGAACCCAGGGCCTCATGCATGCAAGGCAAGCACTCTACTACTGAGCCACCTTCCCAGCCCCACAACTTCACTCTTAAGAAGGGCAAGTGTAATCAATTGCATCTTATAATTCTTTTGTCCCTCACAAAATGCTAAAACTGGCCCCACAGGCATTTCTGTCTTTCTTTACCTTGTTAGAGACTGAATGATTTGAGGTGAGGACTGAAGATGTTTAGTACTGTCTGGTATGCATATGAATTACCATTATTATTATTATTATTATTTTTGCAGTGCTAGGGATGGAACCCAGGGTCTTATGCACGTTAGGAAAACAGTTCTAGCTCTAAGGTATATTTCCCCTCCCCAGCCTTTTTTGTTGTTGTTGTTGTTTGGTTGTGGGGCTTGAATTCTGGGCCTGAGCACTGTCCCTCAGCTCTTCAGCTCAAGGCAAGCACTCTACCACTTGAGCTACAACACCACTTCCGGTTTTCTGGTGGTTTATTGGCGATAAGAGTTTTACGAACTTTCCTGCCCGGGCTGGCTTTGAACCTCGATCCTTAGATCTCAGCCTCCTGAGTAGCTAGGATTACAGACGTGAGCCACTGGTGCCTGGCGAGCCCCTTTTTTTTGAGACTAGGTCTTATTATGAAACCTTGGCTAGCCTCTCAATCCTCTACTTCTTACTTTTTACTCCTCCTTATTATGGCACATGACACCAACTCCTGTTGAAGGATTCTTTTTTAAGGTACTGGTCAACTCCTTAGATAACAAAATAAATGCCAGAGAATGCCAAACATCAATTTTATGTAGTTATCACTCAATATCCTCAGAGGATAATCAAGATGAAAATCAAGTTTCTTGAATAAACTGATATATTTGCATAATAATCTACAGACACCCTCCCATATACTTTAAGTCATCTCTTCTATGATACTTAATGCAATGTCTTGTATTATTTACAACAATAATGGTAACAAAATTAAGAAGTGCTATGCCAAATCTGTGGTAAATGCAACACATACTAGGCTGTACATATTTAACAGGAAAAGAAAAGCATGATTATTTTGTAACTCATAGTTTAGTAAAACTGGGCCCCAATCTTGTTTTCTAACTAGAACTCGAGAAGTACTTCTACCTAAATTCAAGCTGGAAAAGAACTATAATCTCGTGGAGGCCCTGAAGTCTATGGGGATTACTGAGCTGTTTGACAAAAATGGCAACATGTCAGGAATCTCGGACCAAAGGATCACCATTGACTTGGTAACTGCTCCCTTTTTGCACTTAGGCTCTGCCTCAGCACAGCTTCAACTTTCCCATCTTTCCAAGCCCATTACCACCCAGTCTTACTTCCCAGGTCGGCCTGTGACATACAGTTCAGTTCTGCAGTTATCAGCTAGGGGAGGTAGTGTGTTTGCCAGATGTTTCATGGACAGGATGGTCACAGGAAGCAGCCTTGGAGTATGCCCCCACTCCTGCTGTCATTCAACCAAGGGAAAATGTGCTACAGTGTGTATGACTGTTATGCCCATCAGAACAATGAAAGACCCATTCAACACATAGAGAAGCTGCACTACACTGAGTTATTTAACAAGCCAACAACAGGCAATGAGCAAAAGAGTAAACACTAGGTCAAATGTAATGACAGATCCAGGCCTGAACCCTTAATGGGCATGTACCCCAGAGTTTTGAGGAGGAGATTCAAATGAAGGAGCTATCTAGACTCTGAAGACCTTTCAGACTGAGCACAGCCCAGAGTGAATGTGATTCTAGAGTTTGGAGGTAAATACTTATGATAGGACATAGATTCTAACAAGGTGATAAGAGATATTTTTCAAGGGTAATTTTGACAAGCTGTGATTTTTCACTTCTATGTGGATTTTGGATCTTTTCTCTAAATGAGAAAACATTCAGAGAATGCTATAGAATCTGACACTTTTTCCTTTCCAATTTCCAGTTCAAACACGAAAGTACCATCACAGTGAATGAAGAGGGCACTCAAGCTGCTGCTGTGACCACAGTGGGTTTCATGCCACTGTCCACTCAAGTCCGTTTCACTGTTGACCGCCCCTTTCTGTTCCTGGTGTATGAACACCGCACCAGCTGCCTGCTCTTCATGGGAAGAGTGGCCAACCCTACTAGGTCTTAGTGGCAGCAGTCTGGGCACCTAATGTGTTTCGGGGGTACTCTCTGGTTTTGTTTCTCTTCTAACAATGAGGACAGAGATTTTTTTTGGCATCATGACTTTTGAGGTTTAGGCTGCCAATCTGAATTCATGTAAGGAATTTGCCAAGGACTGAGAAGCTTGGTTGGAGACAATTCTGCACAGTAAACAATGGTGTAAGTCCAGTGGAATTAGTATAACTAATCCATGGGTCAGATGTTCTCTAGATGGTCTGAACAACAGACAGATTGCTTCACCTTCTCACCAACTCCTCACAGCAAGCTGATAAAGTATACGTGGACACCTCCTTCCTGGGCATTGGAAAGGCCCTATCCTTGCACATCTGTCTCTATTCTCAAAGCCTTTCTCATACAGGTCCCTCATTTGAACACAGAGCAAGAAATGACTCACATGACTAATTTCTTGCCTCTCCCAAAAGGGTGTCCAACTAAGTCCAGGGCCCTGGGCATTGGGGCTTAATTCTCTCAAGGTCTGACCTTACACATCCATGTAAATGTCCTGCTCCCCATTTCCTCGCTGCTATCCAGAGGGCAGCATATATATATCACTACTTCTTCCATTCTAAGATAAATAAACATAGTCATATTTGCTGTATACCTGTTGCAATTCTATTTTTGTTGTTGGTTATGGGGCTTGAATTCGGCCTGGGCACTGTCCTTTAGCTCTTTTTGCTCAAGGCTAGTACTCTACTACTTTGCAGCTCCAATTCCAATTTTTTGGTGGTTAACTGGAGATAAGAGTCTCATGGATTTTCTTTTTCCTTTTTCTTTTCTTTTTTCTTTTTTGTCAATCAGGGGCTTGAACTCTGGGCCTGGGTGCTGTCCCTCAGCTCTTCAGCTCAAGGCAAGTGCTCTACCACTTGAGCCACAGCACCACTTCTGATTTTCTGGTGGTTAATTGGAGATGAGTCTCATGGATTTTCCTGCCCAGGCTGGCTTTGAACCGTGATCCTCAGATCTCAGCTTCCTGAGTAGCTAGGATTAAAGACATGAGCTACCAGGACCTGGTCTCTATTTTCTTTTTGAAGCTCAAATAACAAAAGGCCAGTATCCTTAGGAACAAGAAACAAAGGTCTATACAATGACTAACACCCTACAGCAGGGCACCTTCTTAGGATGAGAACAAAGTATGTGGCCGAAGCCTGTGCAAGGTCTGCTCAGAATTCCTGAGATGCAGTGTTCTAAAGTGTTGCACAAGTCCTGATGCCCACACATTCTTTAGGTAGGGGCATATGCTTCACCTTTCATCCCCTGGATGTGGTGCTGTGCTGTAGGTCTATTTGCAGAGCAGGCAATATCCAAGGACTGTATTTCCAGGTCCTTCACTTCCTGGGTAAGACATTTAAAATCCAAAAGGGCTGCTCAGAGTGCAAAATTCAAGTTGCATTTTTAATGAGGGGAGTCATGAGCTTTGTGCATGAAGGCTTTCTAACTTCCACAGCTTGGGAGAAACTTTATTTTTCCACTTTGCAAGTCAGGAAGACCAGGGCTAGAAGGGCTCTGAAACTTGCCCAAGACACAGCTGCAGTATGTGGTGGGGACTCAAGAGAAAGTTCACCTGACTCCAGGATCATGCAAGGAGTTACGTCACAAAAAAACTTTTGATCTCAGAAGGCCAATACCAGTAATGAGAGCAGCAGAAAGAGTGCTGAGCACTTATATGCATGCGTGCATGCGTGCATATGTGTGTGTGTGTGTGTGTGTGTGTGTGTGTGTATGCACTGAATGTGTGTGTATACCAAACCTAGGTGGTCCACACTTATCACCTATAACGATGCCCATGAAAGGGAAGTGATTTGCCCAAGCCTTGATATAAATCCAGACAGAGGACCCCAGAGCCTGCTTTTCTTTTTTCTTTTTTTTTGGGGGGGGGGTACGGTCATGGGACCTGAACTCTGGGCCTGGGCACTGTCCCTCAGCTCTTCAGCTCAAGGTTAGCGCTCTACCACTTGAGCCACAGCGCCACTTCCAGCTTTTTTCTTTTTGCTTATGTGATGCTGAGGAATCGAACCCAGGGCCTCATGCATGCAAGGCAAGCGCTCTACTACTGAGCCACCTTCCTAGCCCCGCTGCTTTTCTTTCTAACCATCCTCACCTACTTCTTTCATAATTTCCTGTATTCTACTGAAAAGGACAGAACAGGGTTGAGGCCCAATCTCTCCATCACAGCTTTTTTTTTTTTTGGTCAGCTGTGGGGCTTAAACTCAGGACTTGGGTGCTGTCCCTGAGCACTCAAGGCTAGTGCTCTACCACTTTGAGCCACAGCACCACTTCCAGTTTTTCTGGTGGTTATTTGGAGATAAAAGGACTTTCCTGCCTGGGCTGGCTTCAAGATTCTCAGTGTCAGCCTCCTGAGTTGCCACCAGCACCCAGCTTCATCACAGCTTATTCTTTTGGTTGCTGATGACCCCATTCTTTCCATTTTTCCCCAATTTACTTTGTTCTTTTCAGGTGCTTCTCTTTTATTTTTCATCTTGTTGCTAGTTCCTCTTGTTCTATTTTCTAAACATAGTTACCTCAAAAAGTCTTTAAAAGCTGGTGCCACCCCAAGCATCTTCCTTGTGCCTGTAGTCTCAGCTTCTCAGGAGGCTGAGGTAGAAGGATCTCTTGAGGCTAAGAGGCCAGCCAGGACAACACAGTGAGAACCTATCTCCAAACAAAAACTAACCAACCAAGCAATAAATTCTGTCTTTAGCCCTCTGCCCACTTTCACAAAAAGTGATCATCTCACTTTTAATTATCCCTTCCTACTACTTCCTCTATAGCCAGTAAGTCTAGATCCCTTTATGACTACACAGAGCAGACCTCTCCAATCTCTTTTTGTTTACTTCCATGTATTTGGAATCCTTCTAATTCCCTCTGACAGAAATTGGCCAGGTCTTAAGGCAGTAGCATATTAATTCAGCTCACAGGCTCTGCACCAGGTTGCCTGGGTTCCTGGCTCTAACATATAGTAGCTGGGAGCCTTTGATCCAGTGCTGTGCCTCAGCATCCTCTCATCTATAAAATGAGATTAAGAGTAGCACCTACCTTGCAGGGTTATTGTGAAGGCAAAAGGAGTTTATATCAGGAATTGCTGTGTGAAGCCAACCCAGGCAGAAAAGTCTGCGAGGCTCTTATCCCAATTTGCTACCCCAAAGCCAAAAGTAGAGGTACAGCTCAAATGGTAGAACACCAGTCATGAGTGAAAAAGCTAAGGTACAGTGGCCAGGCCCAGAGTTGAAGCCCCACCACCAGCACACATACACAAAAAGAGTTTCTCTCTAGGGATTCCTATGTAGGGCGTCCAGGATGGGTTTGTCCCATTTAACTGCCTGAGGTTACAAGCAAAAACTTTGAGCACAGCTGCATTTCTATGGAAAAGAATGCAAAGTTTACAAGAGCCCATAATCTAGAAAATGTTAACCCATAAATCTCATCTACTGCCCCTGAGAGAATAAGTAACCTGTTCAAGGCCACAACAGCTACCAGTGACACAGTTATAACCCTGTTCTCAGTGGAGTACAGGAACGTTTTTGAGCACAGGGCACATCTTACTATCATACTGCTACTTTAAAACAGATAGGTCTTTTAAGCATTTTCAAAATATTTGATAGAGAGCTACATAACAGTGCAATTTAGTATTTCTGGAGAGTATGGGGGGAGAGGGATGGAAGGGATGACACTGACCAAGGTGTACTGTATATATAAATGGACATGTTAAACCAAAATCCCTTCGTATAACTATGTGAAGATAATAAGAGGGAGGAAGAAAAAAATTTTGCTGAAGAAATATGGTCACAAAGTTACAAGACAAAGATCATCAAATCTAAGCAGGACGGAGTCTCAGAGATCACACAACCTGACTGCCCAGTGACTTTCCAGGTTCCCAAGGTCACTCACAGGGAAACAACTACGTGAGGGCCTTAATCTAGGCTTCTTGCCCGAAATCTCCTGGCCCTTTTACTCAGCAAACTAACAACTATGCCATTAATGACTGAACAGAGTATATTTTTCTCTTAAAAAAGGAAAAGTATAAAACATTAAAACAAAAACAAGCAATTACAAAATGAGAAGGCCCACACCACTTCTGGAAATCAGTTTTTCACAAAAGGTCCAAGGGGTAACCACAAAGCAAATGGGAGAATCCATGATCCCTGTGTTCTTTGTTGAGCAATAAAATCAAATATTTGTTTCCTCCCACATAATATAACCATTAACTTTTGTTAAAATAATGCTTATTCTATTCATGAAAAAGGTTAGAGGTACCTGAGGAAGCATGCTCTGAGCTACCATTGATGCCTATACTGACCCTGTGTGGTGAGACAGGCACTCCGATTATCCCACATGCACAACCAACCCAGAACTCAACACTGCCCTGGTGACTGTAAAATTTGCTATTTCCAGCCAATTTCACTTATGAATGCTCCCTAAAAGCACAAAGTATCCATGATAAGTTTTTTATACAAATTTATTAAAACGCTAAATAACCACTATTAAACACACTTGGAAAGTTCACCGGAAGATGGGCCATTAAATTCTGACATTCAAAGATGTAAGAACTCACTGATTCAGTATCACCTCAAGCATCTTCCCTGTCTGCTTAAAATCTGTTCCATAAGAGTCTGTTTATCTCCATATCTACTCCAACAGTACCACAGAGTACCTCAGGCTTCATGCTCCTCACTTTTCCTTCCAGGCCACACAGAAGACCTGCATACAATGTTACTTATAAAAGACAATTGCACACTGGCCAATATTAATTATAAAGCAGAAAAAAATTGTTCTAAATATTAAATAATAGAGTATGAGTAAAACAACAATTAACCAATGGAGGCATCAACGAAACATGCAATCCTGAAAATCTCAAAGGAAAACAGCTGATGGCAGGCTTGGAAGGTGGTAAGGTTCCTAAGATACCATGGAAATCCATGAGTCAAGCAGCTACAGTTCACTGCACTGTAGGCCCAGCCCTTTATCTCCTGAAGTACTTCAGCATGATGAGCTGTCCTGCTACAGACTCACCCCTCTCTAGAATCAGCCATATACTGATGAGAGCGACAAGAGAGAAAAGGAATGTGAACAGGCAGATAAAAGGTGACTTTGAAATTACACAAAATATATGCATGACATTTTACTAATAAAGGTGGTGTGTGTGTGTGTGTGTGTGTGAGTGTGTGTACCAGTATTAGGGCTTGAACTTAAGACCTGTATCTATGCTTTTTTTTTTTTTTCCCCTCAAAGCCAGCACGCTACCACTTGAGCTACAGCTCTGTTTATAGCTTTTTGGTGTTTAATTGTAGAGAAGAGTTCACAGCCTTTCCTGCCTGGGTGGGCATCAAAAAGTGATCCTCAGATCTCAGCCTCCTGAATATTTAGGATAAAAGAAGTAAGCCACTGGTACCTGGTGCTACTGAAGATTAATAACTGTAAACCAGCCTAGAAGTTCTAGAGGTTGGAATGATGATATACTCTGATTGGTGTGAACATACAAACTGCTTCATTAAGATGGGGAGAGATTAGCTGGGCATGGTAGTGCAGAACTGAAATGCTAGCAATAAGAAGCCAAAGGCAGGAGGGTTTTGGATTTCAGACCAGCAGATGATGCAAGATCCTGTCTCAGAAAAAAAGAAGAAAGAAGACAGGAAAAAGAAGAAAGAAGGAAGAAGGAAGAAGAGAAGCCAGGCACTGGTGGCTCACACCTGTAATCCTAGCTCCTCAGGAGGCTGAAATCTGAGGATCACTATTCAAAGACAGCCCAACCAAGAAAGTCCACAACACCCTCATCTCCAATCAACTATCAAAAATTTGGAAGTGGAGCTGTGGTTCAAGTGGCAAAGTGCTAATCTTGAGCAAAGAGAGCTCATGAACAGCACCCAGACTCTGAGTTCAAGCCCCAGGACCAGTACACACACACACACACAAACACACACACACACACGATGAGAGCTATGTCTCTGTGCCCACCCTTACCTCCGTGCCCAACCTCCTGACCTATAAGCTATCCCCATAGCTCTGCAGCAAAGTGGGCCTAGTTAGTGTACTATATCAGTTCTCAAGACTTGAACTACTAGTGATGGGGTGAAATCAGGACGACTTACAAAGGCTAGTTCAAGGAAAGACTAGATGGAAGACAGTAAGAGGTACATACAAATACCAGAACACTGGTCCCTCAGCTCAGGACTGTAGCTGGGAATGACTAGGAATAGGGAAAAGCAACTTCTACAAAGGTCATCTGAGAAGTAGTGGATGTGAAATAAAATAAGACAAGATGAAAATGGGCTCTCCCACATAGTAGTGCTGTGGCAAAAGGCTGCACTGGTGCCTGTGTTCCCAGTGGTATCCAGAAGCTGCAGCTCCATAGTTCTGGGTGCCAACAAGATGCCTCCAAGGCCATGGCTCCTAGGAAAGGGCCAAGGAAGGAATGGAAGCAAGGTCAAGCCCAGCGTTAGTCAGAGGCACCAATAAAGAATGTGAGACACAGAGCACAGAAGCCTCAAAGCCAGTCATTGGTGGCTCATATCTGTAATCCTAGTTACTTAGGAGGCTGAGATCCAAAGGCTCAAGGTTTGAAGCCAGTTAAGAAAGGAAGAAAAGCTTGTGAAAATCTATCTCTAAAATAACCAGCAAAAAACTGGGCTAGCTGACATCAGTGGCTCATGCCTTTAAGAGGCTGAGATCTGAGGATAGTGGTTGAAAGCCAGCCTGGGCAGGAAAGTCCATGAGATTTTTGGTGTTGTTGTTGGTCGTGGGGCCTGAACTCTGGGCCTATGCTCAGTCCCTCAGCTCTTCAGCTGAAGACTAGCGCTCTACCACTTGAGCCACAGTGCCACTTCTGGCTTTTTCTGCTTATGTGGTGCTGAGGAATTGAACCCAGGGCCTCATTCATGTGAGGCAAGTACTCTACCACTGAGCCACCTGAAGTAGAGCTCTGGCTCAAAGTGGCAGAGTGCTAGCCTTAGGTGAAAAAGCTCAGGACAGTTCCAGGCCCTGAGTTCAAGCCCCACATGAACAACCAAAAAAAAAATGCTGGGCTAGAAGAATGGCTTAAAGTGGTGGAGTGCCTACCAAGCAGGTGTGAAGCCTCAGACTTAGGATGTAGGAACAGTGGGAATAGGGAACCTAGTCAGTCAGCAGGGCATAAGAAAGATAGTGAGGTGTATAGGGCTAACTAACACAGAGAGTTGCTGGTGGTGGTAGAAATGGTGATCCTATGAAATCAGTGGGGTTTCAAAACAGAATTTCTCTAAGGAATTTGTTGTGCATGACTCAAAACATAAATGCAATATTATGAGTTTAAGCAATTCAATTAACATATATACTCACCACAGCGATCACAGGAATAAGTACTCCTAAATTCCCTGCACTGCTAGAAGCCTGGAAAAGAACAGAATTCATATAATTGACAAACATGCTTATTTTATTTTTTAAAAAGATAGGACAGGCTAGGAATGTGGCTTAGTGGTAGACTGCTTGCCTAGCATGCATGAAGCCATGGGTTTGCCCTGGGTTTGATTCCTAGTACCATATAAACAGAAAAGGTTAGAAGTGGTGCTGTGGCTCAAGTGGTAGAATGCTACCCTTGAGCAAAAAGTTCAGGGACAGTGCCCAGGCCCTAAGGTCAAGCCCCAGGAATGGCAAAAAAAAAAAAAAAAAGAAAAGAAAGAAAGAAAAAAGATAGGACAATGTTATATAAACCTAGGATTCCTTAAAGAAATGAAGAAATCTGGATGCCAGTGGATGAAGGCTGGCATAGAAGGGGAAAATAGTCTAGCTCCAGGGAACAGGAGAGAAATGGCAGTCTGTCAAAGATATTATAGGGTATTATAGGGGGATTTTTTTTTCCTTTTTAAAGATGAGACTATAACAACTTGGATTATCTGTGCCTTTGCCTTTCCCAAATATGTTAACATAAGTGGTACATCTTTTTTTTTTTTTTTTGGGCAGTCGTGGGGCTTGAACTCTGGGCTTGGGCACTGTCCTTGCGCTCTTCAGCTCAAGGCGAGCGCTCTACTGCTTGAGCCACAGCGCCACTTTGGTTTTCTAGTGGTATATTGGAGATAAGGGTCTCACGGACTTTCCTGCCTGGGCTGGCTTTGAACTGTGATCCTCAGATCTCAGCCTCCTGAGTAGCTAGGATTACAGGCGTGAGCCACCAGTGCCCGGCTAAGTGGTACATCTTTTGGCAGTCATTTCCAACAGGATTCAGGATAGTGGACCAGAAAAATGTCAGTAGCTTGGGAGAACTTAATTTTGTTTTCTTTTTGGCAGTACTGAGGTTTGAATTCAGGGCCTAGGCAGGCACTCTTAAAGATAAAAGAATCATTTTCCTGAGGGATCAGCCTCAGATATCTATCATTCTACCTATATGTCCTACATAGCTGAGATAACACCTGACCCCTAACTTATGCTATGTTATATGATATTATATTATTTTATTATTTGCCAGTATTGGGGTTTGAACTCAGGGCCTCACACTCTCACTTGGCTTTTTTACTCACGTTTGTTCTAGCAGATGTTCTTGTGCCATATTTCCATTTCCAGCTTTTTGCTGGTTAACTGGAGATAAAAGTCCCATGGAGCAGGATCAGGTGGCTCACGCCTGTAATCCTAGCTACTCAGGAGGCTGAGATCTGAGGATCGTGGTTCAAAGCCAGCCCGGGCAGGAGAGACCATGAGACTCCTATCTCCAATAAACCACCAGAAAACAGGAAGTGGTGCTGTAGCTCAAGTGGTAGAGCGCTTGCATTAAGCTGACGAGCTGAGGGACAGCGCCCAGGCCCAGAGTTCAAGCCCCATGACTGACAAAACAAAAACAAAAAAAAAAACCAGTCCCATGGACTTTTCTGCCTACGCTGTTTTTGAACTACAATCCTCAGATCTCAGCTTCCTGAGCTTCTAGCATTACAGATATGCCCAGCTTCTCTCTCTCTTTTTCCCCCCCCAGTTCTGGGCCTTGAACTGAGGGGTTGAGTGTTGTCTCTAAGCTGCTTTTGCTCAAGGCTAGCATTCTATCACTTGAGCCACAGAGCCACTTCTGGCTTTTTCTGTGTATGTGGTGCTGAGGAATCGAACCCAGGACGTTATGCATGTGAGGCAAGCATTCCACCACTGAGCCACATTCCCAGCCTATGCCCAGCTTCTCTAACATAATTTTAATAGCAAAAATGGAAGCAATTAAACATCAAACATAAATTACTGATTATATAACTTATTACACAAATAGTGGTACTTTGTATAACTGAACATGATACAGCCACTAAAAAGATGACTATCTGAAATATATTTAGTCACCTTGGTAAAGTAGCCACAGCAAATATTAAATTAAAAATCAAGCAAGAATTAGGATTGTGCTCTGATCCAATCTTAATTAGGTAATACTCATGCATCACAAGTCAAAAATAACATGTCAAATGTCATCAATGACTATCTGAGTAGATATGGGTATTCTATTATTTGTAAATTTCTGTATTGTTTTTACAATAAATAGGTCATTCCAAGTTCAGAAAAATTTGTAAGTTACTAAGTAAGTATATAAAAGTTAAGTTGTTGGCTAAATAAAAAATGTAAGAAAGCTACAACAGACATTGAGTAAATTTTTGGAAGCATACACATTTAATGTATGTTCTATTTATAAAAATTGCAGTAGCTAAGGATGGCCAGGCATGGTTCTGAGTTCTTTGCCTGTATTATCATCCAGCGAGAAGATACACAGAGAGTTTAAATAGTCTGCCAAGGCAACACAGCTGCTGTGTGGCAAGAATAGAATTTTAAGCCAGTTTCCCTGAGCTGGAGTGCATGAACAGTACCTCTGCCTATGCTATTCTGGGAAACTGAAAGCCTCAGGAATGCATGGTGAAAAGAAACAATGTCCTAGTTAAGTCACTAATTACAGTAGCTTGTCCTCACAGCATCCTACCACCACTGTTCTTCTGGGATCCTCTTATTCCAGGAAGTCCTATTGCAGTGGGAAAAGCATGGCAGCTGCTCAATAAATACTTATATATGCAGCAGGAACTACCCTGAAAATACTAAAATTCAGAGCTTTGGCAGGGCGCCAGTGGCTCATGCCTATAATCCTACCGACTCAGGAGGCTGAGATCTGAGGATCACAGTTCAAAACCAACCTGGGCAGGAAAGTCCATGAAACTCTTATTTTCAATAAACCAACAGAAAATGGGTAGTGGTGCTATAGCTCAAGAGGTAGAGGACTGGCCTTGAGCTGAAGGACAGCGCTCAGGCCCAGAGTTCAAGGCCCATGACTGACCAAAAAAAAAAAAAAAGAATTCAGGGCTTTGTATCCAATGACAGAAAAGGAAATCCTTACAGTGGCCCTAGCTTATAATAGGCATTAAGGGGCTGGGAAGGTGGCTCAGTGGTAGAGCGCTTGCCTTGCATGCCTGAGGCCCTGGGTCTGATTTCTCAGCACCACATAAGAAAAAAGCCAGAAGTGGCGCTGTGGCTCCAGTGGTAGAACACTAGCCTTGAGCTGAAGAGCTGAGGGACAGCACCCAGGCCCACAGTTCAGGCCCCACGACCGGACCAAAAAAAAAAAAAAAAAAAGGCATTAAATTTTGAGAGTCTTGAGCCTATAAAGAAGAATATAAAGCCAGATGCTGGTGGCTCCTGCTACTCAGGAGCCTGAGATCTAAGGATCTCAGTTTGAAGCCAGCATGGACAGAAATGCTCATGAGACTCTTACCTGCAATTAAGCACCAAAAAAGGTAGAAGTGGAGCTGTGGCTCAAGTTGTAGACCACTAGCCTAGATCTTAAATCCCTTTGTGTATTAGCTACTCCCTTTTGGTCTCAATTCAGACATTATCCTCTGCAGAGAACCATTCCTGACCAGTTTAAAGTGCCCCTCACCACACTACCCTGTTATATTCGCCCACAAAAGTTCATAGACACAGAGATTCTCTTGTTTACCCTCAACAAAAACCAAGAAATTAAAGACCATGAGTACAATCTCAGCTATTACCTGTTCTCTTAACCCTGCTCCTAGCTACTACAGCAGTGCTGAGTTGTTGCAACAGAGACCATATTACACCTGCAAAGCCTAAAATATTTATAGTCTGGTCCTTCACAGAACTGTAGGCTGAGCTATGATCTAGAACAGTGGCCTGGCAGGTAGTGGGTGAATGATAGGGATAAAAGTATAGATTTGGTTGAGAGTCTGACTTCAAAGAGGTAGTAATGGGTGGTATAGAGGCCTATTCTGTCTCACCTACCCCCAAATCATCTACTTGAGTATCCAAGAGGTGATATTTTATCTATCCCATTGGACTTGCCTCTTTTTTCCTTCAATGCCAGCCCTAGGGCTTGGCCTCAGGGCCTAGGCACTGTCCCAGAGGATTTTTGTTGTTGTTGTTTTTTCCCTGAAGGCTAATGCTGAGTCTGAACCTCAATCCTCAGATCTCAGCCTCCTTAGTAGTTAGGATTACAGGCATGGGCCACTGGTGCCTGGCTAGGACCTGCCTTTTTTGAGAGAGCCTGAAATGAGGTCAAATCCAGTTCTTTTATGCTATTATATGTTCCAATGACAGGCTCATAAAGTCTATAAAGGACATCCCCCACATTGTTTCATAATACATAAGAAGGGAGAGAGCGGTCTAGGATAGAATTCATGCTAGACTTCTGTCATGCTGTCACCTAGGCTGTGGGAGGTGGCTCTCATGATACAGATTCAATCTGATGAATCTTCTCTTATAAATGAATCTTCTCTTATAAACCCTGCTAGCATCTCTGAGATACCTATTTCCTCCCTTCCCCCGCCCCTGCTTTTTTCCTTGCTCTTTCCAGATGTAGTTAAATCACCTAACAGAGGGCTGGGGGAGCTATTAGTTCATGGGGGGAGGGAGGTAGGGAAAATGCACATTATTTAACATATTTTAAGTACTAAGTTTTGATCCCCAGCATCAAAAAGGGGATATTTCAACAAACTCAGCTTAGGATGCTGGGCAGAAGTGCTGATGGGAAAAGCTGCTACAATCTCCCCCTTACCTTCAGAGCAGGCCCCTTCTCACTCGCCCTCTCGCTGGCTCGCTTTCCCTCAAGCCCCAGCTGCACAAACAATTCCAGCAGGTTCATAAGCAACTCATCTACAAGATGTTCCTCCTGGATGTTGGCTGCAATGTTGGCCAGGGCATTAATTACTGCCAGGGAACAGTGCCTAAAGGAAAGAGCAAAATAACAGTGGCTGTCAACTGTGTCTGGCAGTTGGCACTCAGAGATAAAGTAAGCTGACACCTCATCATGTACCTATGAGCCAAAGCACTCTCAGGCGGTGATGAGCATGCCATCTTCCTGACAAATAATACCTTAGAAAAAGTGACCTATTTCAGACATGACTGTAGCACTCTCTTCTGAGATCCAGTAAGGAGCTCTAGGGAACAAAGTTTCAGTACTGTACACCAGGGACCTGTAAAGGGCTCAGGACACTTTCCTCTGAAATGTCAAGGGCCTAATGCATTGGTGAAAATGTAAGTACTCATTTGAGACAATTTCTGCTTGGGTCCAGCTTTTCTCCCCCATATCACAGAAATCTTAACTTTTTTTTTTTTGGGTCCGGTCGAGGGGCCTGAACTCTGGGCCTGGGTGCTGTCCCTCAGCTCTTCAGCTCAAGGATAGAGCTCTACTACTTGAGCCACAGCACCACTTCTGGCTTTTTTCTTTTTGCTTATGTGGTGCTGAGGAATCGAACCCAGGGCCTCAGGCATGCAAGGCAAACACTCTAC